ATCGACATAGAAGCACTTCAGGAGAGTAGGAGAGGGATAGCTGAAGAATGAGAAAGGAGAGTACACCTTCTTCTCGAAGGGACTGTCTGAAGAAGAATTAAAAATTCACGGAATTGGCTTTGTTACAGAAACAACCTGGTAAATCCTCTGTCTGAAGCATCCATTAACATTAACGAACAGGGCCAGATTTTTAAATTTCTTTTCCTGTCCACCAACATTCCATATTCCACTCTTCCATTTTTGAGTTGGGAGGATGGTAACTGCTTTTGGAGATGGTGGTTGGGCATTCAGTCAATATGGCCAGTCCAGCAATAGATTGGAAAGCCCCTTCCCAACAAGCTGAAGACATTTTCCAAAGATGAAATCACATCCTCCAGGAAAGAACAATATCCAGATTGTGAAGATGCACGTTCCAAGACATAAAAAGCCCTATTTATAGGCTTAAAAATAGCGGCCTCAAAACTGATGATGTTTTATGTGTATTATAATTGCTGGTTTCCGTTTGAATTGGGTATGGTAGCTGCATGCCATCTGGTGTACTTGTAAATACAGGGAAGGGCTCTTTGAGTGAATGTATCAGGCTGGTTCAGTTGAAGTGTTCAGTATGAGTATTTGCCTGGCATTCTTGTAAGGTGGAGGACAATGGGTGCAGAATGGACATTCTTTTCATTCAAAAAGAGGCCCACTGCTTTTTGGGATTAGGAAAGAAATAAATTCTAATCATGTGTTTCCAATATACTAGGGTTTGTGTTAGAAAATAATACAGGTGCGAATAACAGGACATGTGGAAAAGCTTAAAGCTATTGTTTTCAGTAAAATGAAAACTTTATTGGGCTGTTATAGGCTTTTCAGGCTGTATGGCCATGTTCTAGAAGCTTGGCCATACAGCCCAAAAAACTAGAACATGGCCATACAGCCCGAAAAACCTACAATAACCCAGTGATTCCGGCCATGCAAGTCTTTGATAAAACACTTTATCGATTTCTAGGCAAGGGACCAGCATCTATTTTTACTTGAGATTAGAGTGCAGTAAGGAGATTTTATATACCATATGTAAAGGAAACACTGAAGAATCTTAACCACGCTTTACACAATATTGATGGATGTATTTAAGTTTTTGCATCTGACTTTTTCAAAGATGGATGGGGAGAATCCTACTCTAAACCATCAAAAGATAATGCACAGTTGATCATATAAAGTAATACTGCATAGTAACGCCTTTTTACAGAGCAGAAGTGTTTTGTAGGAATTTTGCAAACGTCCTTTCAGTTCTCCTGCAGAGAGATACTTTTATGATACATTCTGAGCCCATTAATATTTATACCTGGCCAATTTAAATTAATAAAATACTTTCCTTTCTGTATTATGAATGGCTAGAGTTCATTGTATATGGCTGTAGCTTTAAGAAATTATTAACAACTTCAGTATAAGGACTAGCTTGATGAGAACTGCCCAGGATCTCTTATACATTTAATTTATTGAGTTTCCCATTGAAATAATATTGTTGGCCATTGCCATAGTTAGTAGATAATCCAACCTCAACAAGGTTGATAATCCTGTCATTTGTAATGTCTTAAAACATGCCACATTCAGACTAATCTCTTATCTGTAGGTGGAATGGCAAATGCATCAGGAGAGATCACTTAAAAACCACAGATGTCCCTAACATACTGTCACTTTCTGTTCTTGTGTAATTGTTGGCACTACAATGAAGCAGTGTTTTAGACAAATTGTGCTGCTTTTCTGTGTGCTGTTTTGTAAGAGGAAGTACTTCAAAATACCAGAGGTCACAGGTACAGTAGTTCTGTTCAATGGCCCTCATCCAGCATCTCATTCTTGCAGGGATCAGTGTACATTGTCTACAGCATATTATTACTTATATCATCTTGGTATTGGGGGATTAAAACCACAACCCTGCTTCCCTCCTGAGCAGTTAGTTGGAGCATCACATAGTCTAATGCACATTGTCTTAGCAGATAAATTGCAAAGCAGTGCATTCTGAAGATAGCCTAAATCCTCTTAATGAGACAATAGCCTGCTCCTTATCTCAAAAGGTCTCATTGGATATGTTCAGATGTCATGGTAAGCCATGGTGCTTTGAACCACTATCTTACTGTAGCTATGTAGCATTGTGGTGCTTACAGTGGAAGATTGAAAACTCATAATTGTTGTTGTTCACTGTGTACCTTCAAGTTGTTTCTGATTTATAGAGATCCTAAGGCAATCATATCACAGTGTTTTCTTGGTAAGTTTTGTTCAGCAAAGGATTGCCTGCACCTTCCTCTGGGGGTGAAAGTGTGTGGCCTGCCCAAAGGGGCTATGAATCTTTGTGTCCAGAGTAGTAATACAGTGCTCAAACCACTATACAATAGAACTCTGAAGTATGGAACTCAAGAACTCCATAAGGAAAGTTTGAGGCACAGCTATTGAGCATGATTTTTCAACCAGTTATAGATTTATTTATTTATTTATTTATTTATTTATTTACTTTATTTGTATACCGCTCTTCTCAGCCCTTAGGCGACTCAGAGCGGTTTACAACAATTTAGGTATACACAATACAAAATCATTAAGCATTTAAAAGCAATAGCATCACAAATCAGATCCAGCTAACCATGTTCTTATTTCCAGATGTTCCACTTTGCGAGGTGCAGGCATTGAAAGAGCCTCTGCCCTCCCTCTCGGGGCATGATGGGAGTAGAGGTTTCTCTCTCTTTCTGTTTCTCACTTTTTTCCTCAGCCAATCAGAGGCCTGGTAGACTGTGTCCCTTCTCCTCCTCTCTTGTGGCGCATGCTGGTTGGGATTTCAATTTGCAAAATTCTCTTGCTGGTCTTTTTTAAATGTTATGGTTAAAACTTTTTAAAATTCCCCAAAATCATTGGATTAGTGTAACATTCTGAAATTTAGCAGACTTGCAGCTGGAAATGTGGCCTACAACTGAGGCAAGTTTAATCCTGATGGACTTAAAAATGACGGAGAAATTAGCCTGTAAAGTTTTCCCATTGGGAGCCGAAAATGGGACCTAAAATGGCACTTTTTTCGTCAAGTCGCACACCCCTACTGGAGACTGCTTATTTTTAACAGTTCTTTCACTCATTTGCTACAAAGTCCATCTCTTGTGTATGATCCTTTTGTTTCTTAAGATGTCAACAAAGTAACCAGTGGCCCAGGGCCTTCCAGTCTTCTGTTCCAGCCATTCTGTTTTTGATGCCATCTGCTGACAGGAAGAAGAGTTCTGTTATTTGGGAAGATTCTAATTCTCATAGTTATACTGTACACATTTTCTCTTTGTGTACATAGTTTTATAGCTCACAGTGAAAGAGGGAAGGCAGCTTCTGTGCTATTGCACTTGCTTATGAAAACTCCCTTCCATGCTCGCATCCTTTTTTGTCTTCTTTTTGTTTCTAGCCATTTTCAATTTTTAAGAAATGTTTTCTCATAAGCACAAAATATATTATTTGCAAAAAGATCTATTAAATGACTTTCTACAAAGGTTTAACAGTTTTATTTCTCAAAATTATGCCAAGGATATTGATAGCACAGGTAGTACAATTTTCAGGAGCTAGTCAGGTTATTATTTATGGTTGTTTAAGCCCAAGTTCCCAAGTTTCAGAAACAGTCTTCTGACTTCAAAGACACAAGAATTCAAACATAGCTGTGTTAGCCTGGTATACTAGTATGGAAAGGGCTCTTCTAGCCATTTAGAGACTAACTGAGAAAACAAAGTTGTAACATAAACCTTTGGGAACTAAGTTGGCTTTCTCAGATGCTTGAAATGAAGTGCCTAGACTGTGAGTATACTCATGAGGTGACAAATTCAGCTGGATTATAAAAACAGGAGGAAATTTGTTGTCTATGTCAACATAGAAAGATAACCATATGAATGGTGAAGGGAGTTATCTGAATGCAGTGTGGTGCCAGAAGAGAGATGTGACAGATTAATCAATAGGGCCCTCGTGAGGCTGGGGTGTTAACTAGTATCATAATATGTGTAGTGTGCCAAGAAACCATTCTCTTTGTCCAACACACTATCAATGAACTGGAAATTTTGGACATATTCCAATTCTGCAGTTTTTCTTTCCAAACTTTCTTTGTAGTTTGTTTGTTTGTTTGTTTTTGTACAAGGATGGCTGTTCTGAAGTCCAAGATACAATGCCCAGGAAGGTGAAAGTGTTCTGCCACTGGTTTTTCTGTGTTCTCATTACTAATATCTGATTTTTCTCCATTTATTCTCTGGTGCAGAGATTGCACTGTTTTCCCAATGTTGATTGCTGAAGGGCATTGTTGAAAGAAGATGGTATATATCACATTAGAGCAGGCATGGTCAGACTTCAGCCCTCCAGCTGTTTTGGACTTCAGCTCCCATTAGACTGTTAGGAATTTTGGGAGTTGAAGTCCAAAACACCCGGAGGGCCAAAGTTTGCCCATGTCTGTATTAGAAGATGAACAAGTGAAAGTGCCTCTGATATTGCAGTTGGTTGATTAGATCCTGTGATGACATTTTCCAACTTGATGTGTGGGCAGATTTGGCATCTGGATTTGTGTAAAGGTCTTGTTCCCATCTTCTCATCCGTGTTTGTGTGTCCTCCTGTAGATAAGTAACAATTTGAGATTCTGAGGCTGTCTGTAGGTAAGTAAAGGCCTGTCACCAACACCCTTTGAAAGGAGCACATAATTGTCCAGAATCGGTTCACTGATAATTCATCTGCATGATCTCAATTGGAAGCTAAATATGACCACTGCTGAGATTTTGCAATTTCTTGTCTTCAGTCAATAAATAAGAACACTCCGTTTTAGAGTGTGATAAAAATGTGGAAAGATTGAGGGACTCAAACCCTTCTTTCATTTGCTTGGATCAGCTTGAGCTAAAAAAATGGGGAAGGTGTTCTAGAAGGAAGGAGTTACTCTAGTAATGGTTAATGTTATAATGATAACTGGCTTTGTTGGCAGACAGTCACAACTGTGTTTTTTCCCTTCCTTTCCTGCCTGGTATTTTCAGTGGCTGCAGAGAGAACATGCTGATTCTTCCTTCACTCATGAAGCCTACGTCCATGGACATAGACTTTCTCAAGAAAGTTTCTTGGGATGGAAGAATGTGCTTCTACTGGACTACATGCTATGTAAGCATATCTTATTTCCAGACTTTCCAATTTTTTATATGATCTGAGATGCACAGTTTCTGTGACAGACAAGAAAGTTGATTTTCGTAATGTGTGGGCCTCTGTCCCTTCAGAAGCTTGTCCATGTATGCTAATATGGGTAAAAGTAATGAAGCATAGCAATCCTTTTCTGTTTTAACTTGTCAGGTCATGTAAAAAAAACATGTAAAAATTATTGAGCCATTAATATAAATTAACTACATCAATGTATCCAAGTTAAAGTGTAGTAAAATATTTTGTATGTTGATCTAATGAAGCCATGTAAGTGGAAGTGAGATTCTCTTCTGTATTATTGATTTTAAATACAAAATTATGGGTATTTTAGGTTAATTATAGGGCTAAAATGTCACTGTGTCCAAATGAGCACCCCTGTAGTTTTCTGAACTGTTGCACTTCATTTCCCTCTAACATTTGGGACAACACATTTTTTTTTAATTTAACGTTTGACTATAAGTAAGGAAAACCATCTCTCTCTTCATTATCAATTGAAAAAGTAACTATTTACTTTTGGTTTTTTCATTATGTACTGCAGTTTGAGCAGCCACATTCAAAAGTTGGACATATAGAGAACATATTTTCAAAAACAGAAAGTAGATCCAATTTCAAGACTGCTTGTTGTTTCAAAATAACAGCATTTGGCTGTTATTTTCTATAAGGGATTGCCAGTGGAAAGGGTACATGATGACAGTATGAAGGACAGATGTTAGATTGCAACTACTTGTTTCAGGTGCAGATCAGCAAATGTTACCTAATACAACATACATTTTCTAACTTTTGCACAGCACTGTGGAAATGAGCATGCCTGCTCCTCAGGAAACTGAAGTTAAAACTAATAAACCTAAAGAAATACGGTACAAAAAGTGGAGGACATCACATAGCCCTCCAGATATTGATGAACGGTAACTACTACCACTCCACTAGCTGCTGGGAGTTGCAGTCCAACTTATGGCCCTTTTGATGTAAAGAGAGGATTAAAGTATCACAAAACATGTTGCTGGCACATCCGACCCACTAATTATAAGGTTAGTAGGTTGATAGTTCAGGCAAGTGATTATCCAGTTTCATCAATATATGTCAGTAACAAATTGAGCCACTCCAGCATAACTAAAATAAAAAGTGGTCTTGGTTTAAGTTATCACTTCCATAGAAAAATGCACTGAACACCAAGAAACTCCACTAAGTAGCAATAGAATAAAATGTTGAAGGCTCACTTTTGGATAATAAAAATGTTGGCTCAAAATTGGCAAAAAAAACAACCCAACAACAATAATAATAAAAAAAAACAGTGGGCCTAAGTAAGATATCTTATGAATTGTGTTAAGCTTCCCAGTTGAAGTGTATTGTTGGAGTTTGGTGGTGTTATCAGGGTGGAGACACTACTAGATAGGACTGAAGAACATTGGGGTGACATGAGCATCAGGCACTTTTTCCCACTTGGCAGAACCAATCTCACCTTGTTCCTGTTCACTCCAGCTAAATATATACTTTTCTGTCTGGGTGTGCATTTTGTGCCTGCAAAGTGTAGCAAGAAACTACTCATGATCAGCAAAGTGAGAGATGTGTTCACAAATAGATCTATCAGCTGCAAGGGCTTGGCACCCCACTTGAAACTGATTGGCTTTCATCTTTATATTTATTTATTTATTTGGGGTTCTTTTACCCCGCCCTTCTCACCCCGAAGGGGACTCAGGGCGGCTTACAAAAGCAAAGGCACAATTTGATGCCTGCATCATAAAACAATCATACACAAAATTACATCAATTCACAGTTAACAACAATTCATGCATTATAACCATAAAATCAATAAAATCAATAAAAACCAAATACAAACCCAATTTCTCCTCTTACATGGTCAGCGTTCGTTAACACATAGATCTAGTTTTACGTTCCGCTACATCAATCCTGCTGGTCTTACTCGCCTGATTATCTGATTTAATTGCCTGAGTGCCCAAAGGCCTGGTCCCATAACCAAGTCTTCACCCTCCTCCTGAAGGTGAGGAGGGATGATGATGCCCTGATTTCCCCGGGGAGTGAGTTCCACAGGTGGGGGGCTACCACTGAGAAAGCCCTGCTCCTCGTCCCCACCACCTCACTTGTGATAGCGGTGGGGTCGAGAGCAGGGACTCCCCAGATGATCTCAAACTCCGGGGTGGGACGTAGAGGGAGATACGTTCGGACAGATACACTGGACCGGAACCGTATAGGGTTTTGTAGGTCAAAACCAGCACCTTGAATTGTGCTCGGAACTGAATCGGCAGCCAGTGGAGCTGGCACAGCAGGGGGGTGGTATGCTCCCTGTATGTCGCTCCGGTGAGCAATCTGGCTGCCGCTCGCTGGACTAGTTGAAGTTTCCGAACAGTCTTCAAGGGCAACCCCACGTAGAGAGCGTTGCAGTAGTCTATTCGGGATGTAACAAGAGCGTGGACCACCGTGGCCAGATCAGACTTCCCAAGGTACGGGCGCAGCTGGCGCACAAGTTTTAATTGTGCAAAAGCTCTCCCAGCCACCGCTGAGACCTGGGCTTCCAGGCTCAGCGATGAGTCCAGGATCACTCCCAAGCTGCGAACCTGCGTCTTCAGGGGGAGTGTAACCCCGTCTAACACAGGCTGTAACCCTATGCCCTGTTCGGCCTTACGACTGACCAGTAGGACCTCTGTCTTGTCTGGATTCAATTTCAATTTGTTAGCTCTCATCCAGTCCGACACAGCAACCAAGCACCGGTTCAAGGTCTGGACAGCCTCCTTGGTGACAGGTGGGAAGGAGTGACAGATTGGACATCATCTGCATAGAGATAACATCTTAGTCCGAAACTCCGAATGATCTCCCCCAGCGGCTTCATGTAGATGTTAAATAACATTGGGGACAGAATCGAACCCTGTGGGACTCCGGTCATCTGTGTATCTTTTTGTTTTATTTCATGCAGCTGGCTAGTGTTTTCCCTGCCAGTAAATTTACTCTTGAGTATTCCTTACCAGTTGCTTTCAGGACATAGACAAAACCCCTTCCAGCCAGCAGACAGTCTGTTCAAACATCCCAGAGGATATGGTGGGAAGGTGACATGCCTCTCTAAAAAGCAAGTTGCTCTCTTTAAAACGAATCTGGAAATATAGCATAGGTCAGCAACACCATCTGTAATCTCTTGCAGACAGCAACATCTCCTCTACAGACACATTGCTAGTGTAAATGTCTGATATATCTTTTGACCTGTAAATTATGGGGTGAACAGGGCAAAATTTAGAATGAATCCATGGAATACATGAATAGAGAAACGGCTTGCTTTAGGTCTTTCCTGTGCAATTGTTATTAACAAGTCCCTGAGAAAAATGGGAATGTTGGTGAGAAACAGCTGGCCATTAAGTCTCCAGAGATATTCAGGATGGGATGCCAAATATGATCTTCAGCACGTGCCATTAGTGTGTATTCCTTCAACAGCTGTGCCTAGAAGAGAACAGGGGCTAATTGAAAACTGCAGCTGCCTTATCCTTTTAGGACATTGAGAATAGGCTTTTTAGACACTGAGGCTGAATGAAACTGCTATCAAAAGCTGTGCTTGGGCTACTTACTGAGCAATCTCATATCAGTTCTAGCAATACAGAAAGTGGTATAGGCAGAATTCTTCTTAAGGTTGAGAAGGGAGACATACGTAACTTTCTTGATGGGGCACTCAAACCAAATAATGTGTTTGAATAGTGGATTAGGTGAGCAGAGTGCTGGGATATGTAGAAGTTATGGAATTACTGTATAGCTATTGTGGGACAATGAATCACTTCTCTTTGTAATCCAAGGAGTTAGTATAAATTCTATTTCTAAATAGAAGAAAGAACCAGATTTTGATTGTGAATCTTCTATTTCTCATGCTGAAATACTAGGAGCCCCCTTGAATTGTACTTAATATTTCAGTGTGACACACAAATCTGAGATGGCTGATTGCAGTGGTAATATAAATAATATAACACAGTTGGTTTTAAAATATCTAGATCAAGATGCCTGTTACCAAAACATAATTTCTGTAGAACATCCTCCTACACTGAATGTATGTGTGTCTCTTTTGTATGAGAAATCTGTTACTCTAGTCACAAAAAACTTGGGCTTTCTAAGGGAAACTATTGGACTACTAACTCCAGAACAAAGTTTGTTAAGTAGTACTGTGGAACAACCACCGTTAGCCCTTCTTTAGTAAATCTTACATGGAGAAAGTAGCCATTTTATGTAGGCTTATGCTATATGACTTTCTTACTAAGATGGTGTTAGGAAGAACCCTGGTTTATCTTATAAGGATAAGATAGCACTCTTCACATAGCCAGTCATAGTGGTACTCTCAGGAATTTGAAACTCATTCCCAAAAGCAGATGTCCTGACAAGAACTTGACATTTCCTCCGTGTCAATTTCTGGCAAACATTGGCTACATTTGGATGATCAGTGAACCAAGATGTGAATGAAACCTGAAACATGCAGAATCAGTTTGACTTGCATTAACTAAAAACAAACTAAGGAGATTGCTATTCATCATAGGGGAAATCTGTAATATCAGTGATGTAAGGCTTTGTTTTCTTTTTTCGGTGATAGAAGCTACCTTGAATCCTATTTTGGGAGAAAAGTGGGATATACATTTTAAAATATAGGTTCTGCTCATGGGACAATCCTGCTGGCATAAGCACTGGGAAGATGACTTCTGACTCACCTCTCATTGCATCTAATGGTGTCTTCTAAATATTTTCTCCAGAGATTAGGGAGAAACTCTGGAATGGTATGATTGTGGGAGGGAAGAATATTAGAATCATCGAGTTGGAAGAGACCACATGGACCATCTAGTCCAACTGGCTGCCATGCAGGAAAAGCACAATCAAAGCACCCCAGAGAGATGGCCATCCAGCCTCTGCTTAAAAGCCTCCAAGGAAGGAACTTCCGCCACACTCAGAGGCAGAGAGTTCCGCTGTTGACAGCTTGTACAGTCAGGAAGTTCTTCCTAATGTTCAACTGAAATCTCATTTCCTGTCATTTAAACCCATTGCTTCGAGTCATAGTCTCCAGATCAGCAGCAGGAAACAAGTCCGCTCGCTCTTCCTTATGACAGACTTTAAAATATTTAAACATGGCAGTCATTTTTCCACTCAACCTTCTTGTATGCAGGCTGAACATAACCAGCTCTTTAAGTCTGCAAAAGGTTCCTTTTTCATTTCGTCATAGAGATCCTTTGCTTATTTTATTGTCTTCTGCAGGTGGATTGGCTAAGTTAGAATACAAAGCAGTAATTCAAAAGTCCAGTGTGTAATTGCACTCATGAAAAAAATGAAACTAAGATTGTAGATTATGTATATTCTGCTTTGGTTCACAATAGATGAAGATGGCCTCCTTGTTGGCGAATAACCTGATTGTACTGACTATTCTCTTAAGGCCAGTAGGAATTTTTTGCTTTTATTACCCCAATAACGTGCGTGGTGACCTTGAGAATGAAAATCAAGAGCTTTGATGCTGGGCTGTTGTTGCAACTCAGCATTGCTGTTTGTGCTCCAAACAATTCAGTATTGACAGTTCTGTGAACATGTAACAAAGATTTTAGTACATCTTGTCTGTCATGCCTTTAGATGATTAAATACAAAACTCAATCTCATAATGTCCCCTCTGAAGCAATTCACACTTTATTTTAGAGCATTTATTGTTCTCAGCCCAAAGTAGTTTGTTACCTTTATATATTTTTATATATGTTACTTTTGTCTCAAAAATATGTAGTTATATTACTTTTAAAAATCTGCATGCACTCATCAGTGATACAAAGCACAATCATATCCTCTTTACTTCATTTTCTTCTCTGTACCCATATTTGAACCATTTGATAGTCCTCTTTGATCATTAGTGAAGTCACACCCTTGTAACTGTAGAAGTACCTGAAAATTGTAATTGTACTTGCACAGGAAATACAGTTTTCATTGTTATGTTATAATTATAATGTAAATCAGCTATGCACTGATTATTACCAAAAGGTCATTATAGTTATTTGTAATTGGCTACTTTAGAGTTCGGCAGTGTTGAGTATAACTGACTACTACCATATAATTCATGGAATTACAGGCATCAACTTCCTAAAGCTACAAAGACCTGATGGTTGGGATATATGAAAATAAGAGACACTATTAATGAGGCTACAGTGGATCTCCTCCTTTCATGAGAATCATTCTATTAAAAAATGGCCACCCACTTGGAAAGTTACATTTCAGCATGTTTGACAGCCTGTAGGCAGCCTGGAATTTAGGTCATAAACACCAAGACATATAAGCTGACTCCTCTCCAAAAAACATCAGCTGGACTGAAATGGACAGATCTTATGTGAGAATTTGGTAGAATTCCAGAGATTTTTAAAGTTTGTAGCAAGCTGATTTGAGTGTTTTTTGCCAGAGAGAAAACAACCAGGAATTCTTTGCATTATGGAATGTAAGGTAGTTGTAAAATGTTTATTTTAATATAAACACTTGTGAGTTTTTTCATATGTAGCTTTATGAGCAAAACCTTGTTTTCTCAACAAGTCAATTTTTTCAAAATCCAATTATTACAGGGACAGAAAGTGAGATGAAATTTTCTGAACAAGGGAACAAATAGCAAAACAAACACCACAGGGTGTTAACCCTTCCGTGTGCTATCCAAAACATGCATGCATGTGTATTTGCATGTGTATGTATATGTATGATTGGAGTTACACTTAAAAATGTACCTGTTCCAACTTACAAACAAATTCAGCTTAAGAACAAACCAACAGAACCTGTCTTGATCTAAACTTGGGAACTGCCTGCACATCAGGTGAGCCTGCTAAAGCAGGCAGGAATAAAACATTCTAGTTTTAAGACACACCCTCTCTCTGGGTGATGGAATTCAGCTGTGAGAAATGTATTGAAAAATTGTGTGAAATCTCAGTAAAACAATCCTGCTATTAAAGAACAAAAAAGTAGCTATGGTGCCTGTTCATTTTCCTGTGGTACATGGAAATAACTCGCTTTATTGCTGTTATTGCTGTTTATGTTTCTCTCGTAGGAGGTAAATGTTGTGCCTGGCGATCCTCCTCAGACCCACTAGCCATGCCAGGGATTGTGGTGTTCCGGCGTCGCTGGTCTGTGGGCAGTGATGACCTTGTTTTGCCAGCCATCTTTCTCTTCGTCCTTCATACCACATGGTAAGTGAAACCATAGCCTTTAAAAGACATCTTCCTTTATTTTGTTTTGCTATTCCTATTTCCTGTTATTAGTAGCATCCTCCTCACCACTATAAAATGTTCAAAATGCTGCATCTCCATATAAATGTGCATTAATATGTATTAGCTATGTAATACATTTCTAAATCATGCCTCCATTCATGGAGTGTGGTAAAATGGAATGGACAAAATATACAATATTACAGTAAAGCAGAATGGAAAGGACAGAATATACAGTATTCTGTCCACAGTAAAGCAGAAGACTCCCTTTTTTAACTTGAACTTGTCCATAATCAATTAAACATCTGGAAGAGCAAGATAATTTCTACAAGTTTTCTGAAAGCTATTTTTTTCATGTCAGGAGTGACTTGAGAAACTGCAAGTCACTTCTGTTGTAAGAGAATTGGCCATCTTCAAGGATGTTGTCCAGGGAATGCCTGGATATTTTACCATCCTGTGGGAGATAATAATGGAAGAATGACTATATAGACTGCTTTGTCTGAGATCTCCAGCAACTTCCCTTTTCCAACAGGTGGAGCATGTTAACAGAGTTTTAGAGGGAAATTGGTAGCTCCATGAAGGTTCATACAGATTCTGGTGGTCTCTTCCATAACATGATACTTCAACCTGTGTAGGATGTTATAAAAAAGAAGCATCCTAAATAAAATGCTTATGGTAAGGGCAGAGTTGACTGTGTATTTGAGAAACAGCTCTTTCTGTGTGGTGTGTGTGTACATCAGGATATGTGCTAGTAATATAATGTTCTGGTAAAAACTAGAGATATGTGGTATAAGGTAAGAGATCAGTATGCAGTGAGATTTAAAGACAGGCTTTTAAAAGGAGTCTGTGCAAATACAAAAACATTTGTGCCACTGGAATACTTCCATATTGTTTGCAGGAAGGCTACTAAAACACCACATTTATTCCTGTACCAACTAAAACAATTAAAAAACAAGCAATTCACCAACACAATTAACAATAACTAAAACAACTAAAAATAGTAGTATATCCATAGCCAAAATTTCCCAGTAGATCATCCAGACATTACTCTGATCATGCCTTTGCAAAATTATTGGAACACAGAAAGTTTAAACTCTTTAAAATATAGGTTTGATCCAATAAATCACTCTAGGAAAATTTCCACTGCATTGATGCCATCACTATAGTCTGAATCAAGCTGTTAATGACAACTAGTGTAGCCACCGAGTTAATGGAACTTACAGAAGACTTATTAGGTTTTCATTGATTCAGTAGATATACTATAGTTTTTACTAACAAGCAACTAGGGGCCCGACAAAACCCTTCCCTTGATTTCTGCAGTTTTTTTCACTCTGCAAGAAATAGCCTCTACTGAGGCCCTTCGTACACTGAGAGCCTTGTACAAGAGAAGGGGGTCTCAAGGCATCCATTAAGTCATTATGGATTTAACGGCAAAATCACCACATCAGCAGGCACTCAGAGACAAATTGGAAGTTGCTGTGAGTTTTTCAGTTTGCAGCCACTAAAATATTTTTATGAGTTCTTTTCAATGTAAGATATGTTTACATTTATATAATGGAAGTTAAAACAGCATAGAGGGTCATCTCATGGCAGTGAAGGGTTTTGCTAAAAAAAGTGAAGTTTAAGTATATAAATGAAGTAGGATAAAGTGTGTTTTGTAGCATTCCTTTTTAAAATTATTTTAAAAAGCAGACCCTTATAAAGTGTATTACAGTAATCCTATAGGGAGGATACCAAGATATATGTGGCACTGCCTATTTGGTGCTTTTGTGGCACATAGAATAACTGAATGGTCATCTGTTGGGAGGGCTTTGATTGTATTTTCTTACATGGCAGGCCCTTGTGATCTCTTCTAATGCTAGGATTCTGTGATTCTAAGTGTACCAGGTTATATTGATAAAAAGTATGTGTAATTGGAGATGCCGCTTTGGATATCCAAAACTTTAGATAAAATAAAGCTAAAACAAGTAACTGCCTGCCGTTATCTTCTCCATATGAGATTCAGTTCATTCAGTTCATTCACCCTCATCAAATTATTAAATTTAGTCTTAAATCAGTGTTTTAAGTTTGTGAAGAGACTTTGTCTTTCTCATAAGTACCTATCATTTCTCACAACTGCCAGTCTTAGTACTCCATTCCAGTTCAGAAATGCTACTTGTTGTCATAGCCAGCTGTTGTAATCACACCAGCATTTTTCTATCCTCTGCTTTCCTATTGAAGTTATGGAAGGGCAGGCGATCTCTCATATCCTAAAAGACTTTATGAAAGGCAGAAGTAGCACAGGAGTGTTTCAATAGTTTTGTTGCTGATAGACAATTGTGATGTTGTGTTGATCAAACAAGCAAATACACACATTCTAATATACATGGTGTTAAGCTTGGGAATTCTTGATATGCTGAATTTAAGTTGCTTCACCTTTTATTATGTAGACATGCTTTCACATATCATGTATATGTTCTTGTTCTGGCAAGCATGGGGGAAAAAAGCATGTTGGCATAAGTACATCATAATTTTAATGTTGAATGTTAACAGTATGTCTCGGCCACATTTTCTTCTGCCCTCTGGTGACAACTGGGGGAATGTGCAAGCGTCTACTGTTCTTTTCTAGGTCTCCTGATTGGCAATGGTGAAAAGTAGACAGATCTGTTAAAACAGCCTCTTTTTTCTCTGTTGATATAATGGGACACAAACTAAGTTCTGGGATGCAATCCAGAACTCTGTGTGTAGGTGGAAAGTGACTTCATTAATTTACCATCATTAACTTACTATGAGCAATATGTAAACATGATGTTGTTGTTGTGCCTTCAAGTCATTTCCGACTTAAGGTGAAACTCTATTGTGAGGTTTTCTGAGAGTGTGTGAATTAGCAACAGCTACTCAGTGAGTTTCCATAGCATGAAATTGCACCCTGGTTTCCAGAGTCATAATCTAGAACTAAAACCACTACATAACATTGATTCTTGTGGTACAAATGTATATCACAAATAAATAGATGTTTGGAAATGGCAGCTTTGTTATGTCGTGAACAGATATTAACAATGCAGCAACACCTGAGGCCAACTGTTTTATTCTGGCATGTGCTTGCATGCATTACTGTTTATTTGAATAGGGCTTAAGATAGATACTTTCACAGAATTAGAATAAAAGACCCTTTCCTTCTCAAAGGGATATGTTTAAAACACTACCAAAATACAGAATATTGTCTCCTTACATCTGATACCATTTAATGATTAATATGCCTCAAGATTTATTGTATGCAGCTTCTTTGTGACAGGTTTATAATCCTTTCTGTTGTGCTGTTTGGACTGGTATACAATCCCAATGAGACCTGCTCTCTCAACCTGGTGGACCATGGCAGAGGCTACCTGGGCATTTTGCTCAGTTGTATGATCGCTGAAGTCGCAATCATCTGGCTCAGCATGCGTGGCAGTATTCTGTACACAGAACCCCGGGACTCAATGCAATATGTACTCTACGTTAGACTGGGTAAGTGCAGTGACAAAGGGGACCTTATAAATGGTTGACCTTGATGTAGCTTATCTGTTGATTCTCCTTTCAGCACACTGATATATCAACATAGACACTAAAAATCATTCTTTCCGCTGTTTCTACAATAAATATTATTTATTCCTTTCAGAATGTTTGTATTGCAGAGGAGAATCCAAAATGTCTATTTATTTAACTGTCTTACTACTCATGGATACTCTAATTGGGTGCACTAAGGACACTTTTTAATCTGGATGCATCCTGTGAAAATGCTGTTACATCAAAAGGAGTATTTGAATGGTTGAAATATGTCTAATTTGTCTTACATCAAAATAATCTCATAACAGTTTACAAAAAATGAAGACTACAGGTGAAAATGTAAAACAATAGAAAATAATTTAAATAAGTCAAAAATGTTCAACAAAATAATGATTTTACACATGTAATAGATTAATATAATTTAAAGCCATGTACATTAATATTTGGGAGAAATTTATGAGGCCCAATGCTTTGATGAACAGCCAGATTTTAATCTGGCACCTAAATCATCATCACCACCCCACCACCACCATCATCAACATCATATCCTGCCTTTCAGCAATAATGGGATTCCAGGTGGCAACATACTAAAAACATTGCAGGTAAAAAAACAAAAACAAAAACCGAAATGTGAATATACCATTAAAAACAAACACAATTATAAAATCACATATATATACCAAAATGTGTTTTTTTAGACAAACTATATCAAAACCCTTTACAAATCTTCAAAGCAGGCATTAAGAGCCCAGACCTCATCGATCTGTAAAGATCTGCTGATAAATAAAATCAGCATCCAAACAGGTTGATCCCTAAATAGAGAGAATTCCACAGTTGGGGGGCACAATTGAAAAGGCCCTCTGCCATGCCCTCACACAGGGTATGGACCTCCCAGGTCAGACATAGAGAAGCCACCCAGCCTATTTCTGATAATTAATTTTACACATTTGTAGAAGAACGCAGTTTTGTCTGATCTCCCACAAAGCCTGCATTTGTTTGTCTTATATAAAGAAAGATCTGTTGTAATTTTTTATTTATTTATGGGTACTGTTTGCCTCTGTCTTATTGAAGGAAGAAATAGCTTTACACATCACATCATTTGACACCTCCCCAGGAGTGTGTGCTCTCTTACATTTTATAGAAAGAATAACTGTAAATTTTAACACAATGCTTCTAGTAATATGTACATTTACTCTGGTATCCTGTTTCAATTGGTGAGTGCTGTTGATACAGGCAAGCTGCCAGAGCAAATAAGGAGGACAACTTGCTTTCTTGATCCCTCTCCCTCTTGCATGACCATCCAGGGAGGGGTGCAATTAGATTTCTAATATAACAAATTATTAATGCATCTCTTAAGGAAGGATTTTTTTTCACCCTGTTTTAAAAAAGCAGTAGTTAGACTGCTTCTGAATAAGCCCTCTCTGGGTCCCCATTGACCTTAATAACTACTGATGGTGTTTAGCCTTCCTTTTTTGGGCAAGGTGATGGATAAGGCAGTTGCTCTCCAGCTCCAGGAAGTATTGGATGGCACACTTCCTTGACCCATCAAATTGGCTTCAGAGCAGGATGTGGATTGGAGACTACTATGGTTGCCTTAATGGCTGATCTCCATCTTAACATTGACAAGGGGTGTGTATCCCTTTTCATGCTTCTAGACTACTCAGTGGCTTTTGATACTCTCGACCATGGTATCCCAGAATGCCTGGAGGGGCTAGGAATTGGAGGCCCTGTGCTGCAATGGTTCTGGTCATACCTCTCTGACAGGTTCCAGAAGATGGGGCTTGGGGGTAGCTGCTCCTCAGAAAGGGAGTTGTTATATGGCATCCCACAGGACACCATTCTATCCCCAGTTCTTCTTAACATTTATATAAAAATGCTGGGAGAGATCATCTGGAGGCATGGGGTGGAGTGTTATTAGTATGCTGATGACACCCAAATATATATACACTTCTTCTTGTCTCCTATCTTTAAAATGCATTTTCAATTTTTATATGTATCTTAAATATGGCCACATTTAGATGATTCTGTCTCCAAAATATTAGAAGTGCTGTCTCATTATCATGGCACAAGACCAGATTCTGAATTATGAAGTTTATGATTATTGGGGGCATTTCAAGTGATAAGTGTGGAAACTCCTCTGTGGGAAAATGCAACTTCTACTTCAGGTAATTTCTCAACCAAGAGAAAATGAAAAACACACAGCAGGGTTCTTATAGCACTCCAGGCAAAACCGCTGTAAGTGCCTTGCTTGCTATGAGGGTTGAATGAAAAGAAATGCCTCCACCTTTGTTACTTGGGTTTGGATGGGAATATTTTAATAGATCAAACGCAGAAATAATCCTTAGAATGTGCTCTTTAACTTCCACTATTCACTTTTCAACATAATCACCAGACAATTTGATACATTTCTGCCAACGATAAACAAGTTTTCTGAAGCCGTCATGGAAGGAGTCAACATTCTGTTTCTGCAACCAGCGTCTCACAGTTCTCTCAACATCTTCATCAGAAGCATAATGATGCCCCCGCAGATCTTCTTTCATTATCGGGAACAGATGGAAGTCAGACGGTGCTAAATCTGGACTGTATGGAGGATGCCGTACGGTGGTGAGATCCAGTCTCTGAAGTTCTGCTGTGGTGGCATGTGAAGTGTGTGGTCTGGCATTGTCATGCTGCAGGAAAACATTTTCCTTTCAGACCCTTGTTAGCCGTCGTTTCAAAGTTCGCAGCGTTATGTAATGCTCTGAATTTATTGTTGTTCCATATTCAAGGAAATCAACATGGATAACACCATCTGCATCCCAGAACACTGTTGCCATGATTTTTCCAACTGAGGGCTGTGACTTGAATTTCTTTTTCTGGGGCGATTCTTTGTGTCGATATTCCATAGACTGACGCTTTGTCTCCGAGTCGTAATTGTGTGCCATGTTTCGTCTCCTGTCACAATTGAATGGAGAAAGGTGTCACCTTCATTCTCGTAATGCGAGAGGAGTTCCTGGCAAATTTCAAGTCTGTGTGCTTTCATTTCAGGTGTTAGCATCCTGGGTATCCATTGTGCACAGATCTTCCAATAGCCAAGCAAAGCAATAATGTGACCCACACGTTCTTGTGAAATGCTGATTATGCTTGAAATTTCTCTCTGAGTGATACGACGATCGTCCTGAATCAATCTGTCAACCTTTTGCTTGTGAAACTCGGTGGTTGCTGTCACAGGACGTCCAACTCTTTATTTGTCATGCAAGTCAGATGTTCCCACCTCAACATCTTTAAACTTACTCACCTAACGACGCATAGTACTCACATCAACACAATCACTCTGATGAATCTCCTTTGGGGTGACACCTGCTGCTGTCAAGAATTCAGTGACTGCACGTTGTTTCAGTCACATTGATCGATCATCTGCATAGGGTTCCATACTTCACACTTTAAGAATACAGCCGTTCAATTATAAGGCTTTCTGCCAAAATGGAACTGTAGAGGAGAGTCTATTGAACAATCCAGTACCTGCCGCATACCAGTACTGCCATCTGTTGAGGAATTACAACGGAGGCATTAGTTTTCATTCAACCCTCGTAGGTTCTAACAGCACTGTAGCCTAAAAGGCCAGGACTAGTTCCAAGAACTGACCTTGTTGCTCTTGCTGTAACTGTTGTAAATGGATACAGTATATTGGCTATAATAAGCAACACTTGTAATCTCTGTCCACTTGATGATTGGGATATTAGCAGTCCCTCCCTACTGTCAATATTCTTAAATGGTAAGGCATTGCTAGAAAGATCCTTGTACTGTTCCTTCCCCTTCTTTTCTTTTCATTTAGGGAACACGTATCAAAAGTAAGTTAAGTAAATTTTTAAACAATATTTTAAATACTTCCTAAATTGTTGTGAGCATCAAATAAAAGGAGATGAATGGTATTGCTTATAATAGCCAATATGTTGTATCCATCTACAACAGTTACAGTAGGAACAACAAGGTCAGCTCTTGGAATTAATCCTGGCCTTTTAGGATAAAGTGCTGTAAGAATCTAGCAAACAGGATTTGACCTAGCATTAAAAGAAGAACATTACCTCTTAGTGGTGAAAAAAAGTGAAGAATCACATTTTAAAATTATTATGCACATTATGCAACAAGCATTTCAAGTTTCCAAAATTATCCTCTGATCATAAACTCAAGAGAGGTTAACCATTATCTCTGTGTCCATGATGTATCTAGCCAATTATTGTACATATATTTTACACATGTGGTTTTGGTTCCGTTCACCTCCAAAATTTTGCCAAAACTGAAAGAAAAAAGCATATCTTCATGTGTTTCTTTTTGCAAGTGTTGAAAGCTGAGGAGAGATTAAAGTGCATCACAAATCAGAATAGACAGTGGGGTGTAAATGCATTTCATTTGCCAGATTAACATTTTGAATTTAGCGTCTCTTAACAGCCTTAAATTGTCAGTATTTAACAAGATTAATCTGTTTTCTCACGGCTGGTGTGGAAGACAGAAAAACAGATGTTTGAGATCATTTAGAGTATCTATTGCACTGAACAGGGATGAAGGATAGGCATTTAAAATGTTTGCATATTTTCTGAAAACATCCCGTTTTAAAAATCTGAAAGTTATCTGTTTAAATCTTTTCTCCTAAAAGAGACATATGCATAGTGTTATATTCAACTTAGTTTTGAAACACACTGATCTTTCCTGGAGTGAATTATTAATCACTGCCTGAAACCTGCTGATAAGAAATGTTATGAAGAGATTGACAGCAGTATGAATGTCTCCAACATGTTTTGAAACAAAGTATTGTTTTATTAGAATAATGCTACTATTCTGCACTATGTTCTTATTGTTTCAGCCATCTTGGTGATTGAGTTTATCTATGCTATTGTGGGCATTGCTTGGTTAACCCAGTACTACAGCTCCTGCAATGATGTTACTGCCAAAAGTGTCACTTTGGGTGTGTATTCAGAAGTTCCTGTATTATACATAAATATTCCCCTCCCAATCCTAATTGCAAACACAAATAGTGCTAATATACTCTATATGGATGGAAATGCGTTAACTCTGTCTTCCTGTCATTTTCCTGCCTAAACAGAAAGCTGTACATCATTATAACAGCTTTGGAGAACACCACAAGTGTTAATTGGACAATCTCACAGTGTATCTCTAAGTAATATGAGTCCCTAGCATTATCCAATGATTCCTTTTGTTCAGTTATGTTTGGTTTTGAGATCTCAGGTATTCCTGTGGTTGTAAATTATCTTTAGAAATTGCTCACCCACCTCTATTGCATGCAGAATCTCTAAGGCAGTCAGAAATGGCTTTCTTATAGTTTGTGAACGTCACATAGAGTGTTACTGCGGGTGGGGAGGCATCTAAACACAAAGCTTTTGTAAACTGAGCAAATGACTCACATCTGCTACAATTGCTACACACATTTGAATATTTTCACTCTCTTTTACTAGGAATGGTGGTCTGCAACTGGGTTGTGATTCTGAGTGTCTGCATCACTGTCCTATGCGTCTTTGACCCAACAGGCCGAACCTTTGTCAAACTGCGGGCCACAAAGAGGAGACAACGTAACTTGAGGACATACAATTTGAGGTAAAGAATTTGTAAAAGAAGCACTTTGGCGATAATTGGAAGTGTGGATCTTGTATGCATGCCTCTTCCAGAAACAATTTTTCTATTTTGTTTCATGGTTGAAACTGAATGTTTGTGATCTTGTGAATCTGTATAAAAGAGATTTAATTCTTTTCTACTAATTTCCCATGTAATTCAGGATAGTTTTAAAAGGTTTTTACCATGGTATGCCCTGCTGTGAGTGTTTATGTTTGCTAGGTGAAGGATGGGAAGAAAAACAGTTTCTTCCATATTCATTTATAGTGAGAGACAAACCCCACAAAAACTTACGTGGAAACAAAAGCACCGTCCATTCTCATGAAAAGGACTACGAGGCTTGGGGATTCCAAAGTTTTGCACAAAAGGGACAGATCTTTGGGGGGATTTGTGGAGGGGGGGCATACCATAATACTCTAGTGAAAACTGAGCATATGTAGTACCCCCAGAATAGGCCTCATGATTAAAAGCGGTCCACACTGCAACATTTTGTTGCAGATTCCACTTGTGCTTCATTCAGGCTAGTAGTTAATAATCATATGACCTATCTTTTGTTATGCAAAAAAGTGACACTTACCTCACAGTTAGTGTTACTTCTGATGCAGTTTTCACTGTGGGCCTCATGCCCTTTGAAAGTTAGAGTTTTGACTTCTTGAGTAGAAAAAATAAGTGTAGGCCATGCACTGGACTGCTTTATCCCTAGCTTACTGTTATCACTCATCCAGACAATGTAATGTGAGATTCCTTCTGCTTGTAACATTTCTAGTTACTAGTGATAAATGGATTCTCCCCACCTTTTAGACACACTTCATCTATAGTAAGCTGTTTTGAAACCTCATTGCTTGGAAAAGGGTATGTGTGCATGCATGAATGTGTCCAAAATTGCTATACTTACTTGGAATATTGGCACTTGGAATATTGGCACTGTTTGGTTTGTGGTTTGAAGGATCCTGGAATTTGTTCTGACAAGTGTCACTATTAGTAACAAACATGTTGAAGTGTTTGAGGAGTCATTGTGTTCATTATATTTTTACATTCATAAAATATGGTGCTTTTTGGGTGCTGTCTTCCACCATCTCCCCAGAACAGGGTATGAATCTCTATAAAGTATTTGCAGAGTGTAGCTAATATCTCTTATTCCTTTCAGAATAGCTTTGGGATGTTTTAGGGGCACATACAGTTCAGAATTCATTTACAATGTTATGCCATGCTATGCTCAATTCTTTTTGCAGGTGTTAATGCTGTTTTTGTGTTTCTTTGTTCCTTTCTATCCTTTTATAAACATTTCCTTTTTGCTTATTTAAGACATCGCTTAGAGGAAGGGCAGGCTAGCAGTTGGACCCGACGGCTTAAAGTTTTCCTTTGCTGCACACGAACAAAAGATTCTCAGTCAGTAAGTAGTAGTTATCTTTTTATTAAAGAGCAAACACATGAAACAAACTACATTCAAATGTTCTAAGACCATTGGACTGTAAGAGTGAATAAGATCAGTGGTATATTTGTTTTAGATAATATTTTATGGAACTCTTTCCTAGAACATAGTCACCTAGTTCTCTGCGGCCTCTTGCACACATACATTTCCTGATTTCATGTATTAAGAGATCTCAAATGGTTCTTAATGCCTATTTATGCTACCTCCCAAGGAAACACAGGGACATAGTAGTATTTTATTCATGACAATTTTTTACACATGGGTAGTGCACTTGCAATGCAAATCAGCCATATCCTATTGTAAGGAAACAAGTACAAAGGCATACATCCAGTTCCAATATTTTAGTTATGGGCACGTAAATGGAGCAGAAGGAAAAATACATTATTATTTTTAAAAAGACCTGAACATTGGTTTCATAGTTATTGCAGATTGGGCCATGTATCTGAACTGTTGATTCAGTTGCAAGGAAATAAAAGTTGTCTTGAAGTAGTAAAACTATGCAAATTGACTATAGGTCTTTAATCTGTTGAGTAAATAAATTTTAAATTGCATAAGTAAAAGCATTAAAAGTGGTGAGTAGTGAAATAGTTAAAAATTGTATTCCTCTCCCAAAATTAGAGTGGAATTTCTTAAATTGTTATTGAGTAGTAATCTATGTAGACACTTTTGAAAAGTCGTACCTTATTCAGGTTTCCCAGACCTGTAATTTGCTACTTGGCACATAATTATACAAATACGTTATTACCTAATCTATGTGCTACAGAAACCATGAGTGTATGCCATTGGTTTCAACAATCATGATTGCTGTATGAAGTATGGAATCGCCCTGACTTCTGCCTGTACTTTCTTTTTGGGTATTGCCCATATCGTTCTCAAGGACATCTGGTTTGAGCCAGAAAACTGCCCTAGATATATGCTTTTGAACATGTGAGGCAGTGAACAGAGCTTTGGATAGATAGAACCTTGAAGCTCTGAGATCAAATATCTATTTAGCTGTTAAGCTTGATGAATGCCATTTAGTGTCATTCACATGAATCTTGTTGTTAGTAATAATGGAAGTATTAATATTGACTCAACACATACCTGTTGATTCAGTACATCTCCTACAACAATTGAATGTATGCCATTTTACTTCAGCCCACCTCACACCTCACTGATAAAATGAAGGAAACTTCTATATACCACCTGGCCTACTTAAAGGAAGAATACTAGAACAGTATGATCAACAGATACTACGGCTTTAGAAGGAATCAGATAATAACATACAAGCGATACGTTTTGATGTGAATGCCTTGAAATATTTTTTTAAGGATCAGACTAGTGAGTAATTCCAGTTCTTTATTTGCTGATTATTGCAAATTTATTTCTCCTCTTTCCCTCTTTGGATTTTTTAGGATGCTTACTCTGAAATTGCATATTTGTTTGCTGAGTTTTTCCGAGATCTCGACATAGTTCCATCCGATATCATAGCAGGCCTAGTACTACTACGTCAGCGGCAGAGGGCAAAACGGAATGCAGTACTAGATGAGGTGAGTATGCAGAGTACTGCTTGCACTTTTTTCACTGCAGAAACACTGTGTGTGGTTGTGATGGGATTTAGTTCTTGACACTCAACCCTAAGTTATAATACAAAGTGACCACCTGTCGCCATTGCTGTCATCATCAACACCTTCAGGGCTTTTCTCTTCTTCTTTTTTGCTTTTGTCCTCAATTCTTCGTTGCTGGTACAAAAAGGATAAGTTAAACAGACTTCAATAATCATATAATTAGATTAAATCTCCTTAAAATATGGAAGAGATACAAAGTTGGGATGGGACAGAAAACCCCTTTATGGTTATGTCCATTAGAAGCAGTCTTAATGCCAACATCCAAAGAGGAAATAAGATCTTATAGAGAATATCTATTTAAAGAAAATGATCATTGTCTCCTAAAAGAGAGGGAAGAACTAGGTACTAATTGTTGGTTTTGGTTTCATCAGTTACACAATAGATTTACAAAAAATGCTGAAGTAGGGTTTGAGGAAAATAAATTGGAGTGCATTTTCTATATGGGAAATGGGAAATAAGGGCCTAATCTCCAGATTATATAAATACATTCTAGAATATAATCTAGAACACAATAGAATAAAACCTGTCATGATTTCTTGGGCCGGAGATTTGAGGGGAAACAGAATTAGAGAAATGGAGCATCTATGGAAAATAGGATTTACATTTTTGATTTCAGGGTCCATTAGAGTGTAGCTTCCACGTCACTCTCTAAAATTGTGGGTTCATCTTCAGATAGTTCTTTCCTTGGATGAATTTGTTGTCCTTTCATCTTTTTTATATAGGTCTTCAGATGTATGCTTTTCATCAGCTTATTTGATGTGATGTATTCAGCTGCAGGATGTTTAGCTTCCCCACTCATGGTTTATATTTTCCTTTCATTTCTTTGATCTTGTGGAAGAGGTTGATTATCCTTTCTTTTCTTTTCTTTTTGATTGTCATCTTTTATTTCTCTACTTAGAAGTACTCCTTGTTCTAGAGCACAAGTCACTGAACAAATCACAGTTGCATTCTGAATTCTGAACCTATTTCTGTCCACCTTTATTTCTCATCTGGCCTTAACTGCTTCAAGGTTTTTATCGGTCATTCATTGAGGCTTCTCTTTCTCTTTGACTGCAGATAATATATTTTTGCATCAGTTGCTGGCTTTAGTCCAGAGTTTTTACGGTTCCCTGTCAATTAAGCTTAATAGTGCAAATACTGCAAATCTTTTTTTTAAAAGGGGGGGGGGGGTTGAAACTAAGACAGAATGTTGTAAGAATATTCCAATTCCAAATGGCAGTCCATAGAGCAAATGAGTTTTTTTTCCTTTTGTAAAAGCAGGAAAATAATAAAACTTTATTTATAGAAACAACAGGAAAGCATTTATTTAAAAACAGGAAGATACCACTTAATTAACGAATTCTAATTTGTGTTTGGTTTACAGGCAAACAATGATATCCTGGCCTTCTTATCAGGAATGCCGGTAACCAGGAACACTAAATATTTGGATCTGAAAAACTCAGTAAGTTATCAAACCCTGATGAGAGGTGGATGGTAATAGCTGACACTACAGCAGCTCAGTTGGAATCAGTTTTCTTTCCTTCATGTGAATATTTAGTCAAATATGAAAAGACATTAAGATATTGAAAGATAACAACATCTACACAATTTGCTTAAACATATGTTACTGAATGTCACCAAACTAGGATACTAGTTCTTCTGTTTAGCAACTTGCCAGCCCCATACCCACTTGTTCCTCCAAAACATCACCTCATTTGTGTCTAGATTTTCAAATTTGGAACTGGCAACAGGAATTTCCCTGTGTTTCATTTCGCAGCAACAAAGAGTCAATGTAGTCTTTGAAAGGAGGAGGAGAAGTAAAATACCTGTAACCAATAAAGCACTGCATTTAATCTTGAAATATCTTTATATGGTTATATACAAAATACCCATGTAGGTCAACTTTTCTCTCATATTCATATCTCTGGATTGTTTTGGTGACTCATGATGTGCTCATTTCTACAAATAACTGTGTGTGAGGGTAGTGAAACATAGAGGCAGCAAATTTCTGGTGCATCCCCCATTTTTCGTGATTGATGGAATAGAAAGATAGATCTTGCACAAGCCTTCTGTTTTAGCTCAATACTACTGCTATATGTGAGATAAATAAAATGGGGAGGTGTTTGCTGAAATAAGGAGCTGATTGGTTTTTCAAACAAGCTCTGAAATATACATATACCGTATTTGCTTGCCAAAATTGTGGTGCAGATTAGATTTGCATCATACAGTAATGTTAGTATTGAGCCAAAGCCAAAGGGGAAGGTGCTTCAGGAGCTGCGCCTGGAGCTCCTCTTTGAGGGATGTCATCTCTAATGACCAAGGCTCAATACTGTACAATCCTGGGATTTGGAGTTTAGTGTGGCACCAGCATTCTTTGGCAGAGAAGGTTCAAAGCCTTGTTAAACTTCACCATCCAGGATTCCATAGCATTGAATCAAGGCGATTAAAGTGGCATAGGTGCACCTCAAGGTTTTGTTTTCCATCACTGGACATTTTTGTGTTCTAACACAATTGTTTATAGCGAAGAAATATTTAGCAGGAAGCAACAGTAAAGCATTTTTGTTTTTTTGGGGTTTTTTGCCAAATTAGAACACATTTTAATGCTGCTGCGCATTACATTCGGCAGCATTTTTTATTTATTTATTTATTTATTTTGGTTTCAGGGTTTTGAAAATTGAGGTGTGCATTAGATTAGATGATGTGTTAAACTCGAGTAAAAACGTATAGGTATTGCATGGCACACACATACACAGACATGTACAAACACACATACATATAGGCTTTTCTTGGCCTTGTACTCTTTTACTAGTGTCAGCTCTTGAGTAGCTCTGAAACCCAGATTCTTTGGGTCTTTTCCCATGTAATGCTTGTCTTTGGCTTCTGCATTCCTTATCCTCCTCTGCCATGTAGGAAATTGGATGCTTTCATATTATTATTACTATTATGTTTATTTCTATGTCCCTCTGGGGAGATAGAGCAGAATATAAATGAATAAATTATTATTGTTGTTATTATTATTATCCCACTTTTTCTCTCCACAAGGAGACTCAGAACAACTTACATTAAAAGCATGTAATACAATTTAAAATCTAAAAATATACAAACATTAAAACAGAATTAAATAATAAATGGTATTAAAATTCACAGTTAGAATTCATAAAAACATAATCAAATCTAAAAACCACAGCACCCCCTGACTACATCTCAAAAGCCACCTTCTTTGAAAGCCTGCCTGAATAAAAAGGTTTTAGCTTGCCACCGGAAGGATAGCAAAGAGGAGGCCATTCTGGCTTCCCTGGGCAGGGAATTCCAGACTAAAGGGGCAGCCACTGAAAGGGCCCACTCTCTCATTCCCACCAACCAAGCCTGAGATGGAGGTGAGAATGAGAGAAGGGCCTCTCCTGAAGATCTCCAGGTTATGCAGGTTTATATGAATAGCCTGCAGTTAGCCAAATAGCCCCCCCCCCCGGGGGGGGGCAAAACTGAACCCTGAGGAACCTCATAAGACAATGGCCAGGGGTTTGAACAGGAGTCCCCCAGCACCACCTTCTGTGTACGACCCTCCAGGAAGGAACGGAACCATTGTAAAACAATGCCTCCCAGTCCCATCCCAGTGAGATGGCCCATAAGGATACTATGGTCAATTGTATCAAAAGTCACCAAGTAACCACAATTCCTCATTACATCTCACCTTACTAACTATGAGTAGTAGAATCTATGTCAGGATCATATGGGTAGCTTGATTATCCTGGCTTGTTATAGCTTAAGCTTACTAGAGTTACTACCATTTGGAAGTAGCGAAGCACTCCAGTTAGTTTAAAAACAAGTGAAAGCTTCCATTCTCCTCAGTAGTCATGTTGAGGGGACAAGGAGGGAGGCTCACCAATCCAAGACTTAGTTTATAGCAGTAGTCACTAAGGTTTAATGGGTCATTGGCTGCAGGTTCTTTTTCTCCATGCAAGAAGACTGTTGGCATGAAGGACTCCATAGAACTTGGAACTTAATCTAACTTTTCATTCATTTTTTGAGAACTGATATTGAATGATTGAAAGAGGCATCTTACGTAATGAACATTTCTTTTCTTTCTTCCAGCAAGAAATGCTTCGTTACAAAGAAGTCTGTTACTATATGCTCTTTGCACTGGCTGCTTATGGCTGGCCAATGTACTTGATGAGAAAGCCTGCTTGTGGACTCTGTCGACTGGCTAGATCTTGCTCGTAAGTGTTCATCCAGGCTGTATCTCTTGTCTTCTGCTTTATTTGATAGCTTCTTTCTCCCTTCTTCTCATGAATTCTTCATTTATTTTCATCTTCTTCAGAGATGCGTGTTTTTCCTAGTGGTCTTCCTTTCTGCCTATCCTGTAAAATATTATTTCATAATATTTTCCTAAATCTTATTATTTTAGTTCCTGCATATTATCTTATTTCACATTTATTTTCCCTGACTTTCACTGAATAATAAAATGGACAAAAATGTAAAGAGACAGATACCACTCTGTCTCTTTACATTTTTGCCCGTTTTTAATCCAGTAAAGTTAAAAGAACCCCTCCCCCTTTTTTTCATTTATTTATTTACAGAATTACAAAACTTGGGGAATTGTACAGTGCCTTGTAGGAGTATTCACCCTCCTTAATCTATTTCTACAATTTCTGGTTGTTAATCGCTCTGAGTCGCCTGATAGCTGAGAAGAGCGGTATACAAGTAAAGTAAAGTAAATAAATAAATAAATAAATAATAAATTCTTGTGCTACATAGTAGAATTGAAATAATTTAATTGACATTGTTACCACTTAATGTATACATGATACACAATACTGCAAAGGTACTGAATATTTTTATTGCAACACAAAGATTAAGTAAGCAAAAAATAAACTGCCATTTGTTGGGTGTTATAAGTAGTCACACACATGCACATCTTAGTCTATACTTGATAGAAAAATAAGGGAGCTACCCAACAGCTGTGACCAGGATGGTTGATAACAGGACAATCTGAAGGTCTTTCATTCATAGGGTCAACATAGGTTGAAGTTCATTTGTGATCTTTGTCAGCTTTGAACTTTTGGAGCCTAACATTTGTACTCATTTTTCTTGGCAAAATTGATCCAGCTCCCTCAGCTCATCAGCTTTTGAGTATTGCCACAGATTCTCACTCAGATTGAGGTCTGGGCTTCGACAGGACACTCTAATACATTCATTTTGCTTGTAAGCTCTTCTAGTGTTGCTTTGGCTGTACATTTAGGGCCTGCAACTGTGTTAATATCTTGTGTATATCAAGAGATAACTATGCCAACAAAATCAATGCCATTTTCATACTACAATTCAACCAATTGTGGAAAAGTCAATATGGAGGTCAGTTATTTCTGCTATGCATTATATAGAGAATGAGCAGCCATTGTATCAGAGAACTGCAAAATTTTAATTATTGAAAAAGTGATTTTACCAAATGTGTGCCATCACTTAAGTTTTCCAGGAAAATCCACTTTTTGGGCTGAATTTTGAGGTTGCTGAAAACATAAATAACTAATAACAAATTTACCAACACCCTCACAGTTGTTCTTAAACCTGAAAATTTCAACTCAAATAAATGAAAAATTTTACCTCTTGAATTAAATATTTGTAAAGTGAAAGTATAACAGTATTAATCTGTGAATCTTGTTACTTGCTGAATTCTAGTCAAGTTACGGTATTTTAAATAGCATATTATAACCTATGAAATGGAATCAGATCATAAAATGAATGATGCTCCCATGCAATGTATTTTTAATTTTTGGACACATAACATTAATCTTACTGGTATTTGTAATAAATGAACAAATCATTAAAATGAATCAATATTACACTTTGATGAGACACAAGAAGATCCATAAATCTCAATCTTATGTTCTCCACGAATTGACCTTGATACATTTGAACATACCTAAGGGCATTGTAAAGATTGCTTTCTGCAGCTGTAGCAAACTTTAACCCATAGAGAGATGGGAACTATCGCAGGAAAGAATTGTTGTTTTTTTCTGGTTGAAGATTCTGTGAGAGAATTAGCACACCTAGAAATCCATACAGGGCCTTTAACAATCTCCATGGTGATGACTGATAATCCAAAAGTAATACGTCAGTATTGGTTGCACAGAAGTCGTCATGCCATAACAACAGATTTTGAACAGATAAATGAGATTGCAGCATATTATTTTTGAAGCCATATCAAATCGAGACCTTGCTAGGAAATACAGGTGTACATTTTAGCTAGTATAGAAGGGTTTTTTCACTATTAAAAGTTGTAGGAAATACATCAACATAGGTAACTGCAGATGGCTTATTAGTGTTGGGAAAGTAGATAATGTATTCTCACCTTGTAAAAGTGTATTTATCTTTATAACAGTGTTATTTTAAAGTAAGGCTCTGTATATTGGAATTCAAGGACATCTATCCTTGAATTCCAGTCTCCAGTCCAGACCACTATCCAAATGGATTTTGTAGAACCATTGAGGCTAACTGAGAAAAAGAATGGTTAACTGATTCTCGACGGTATCAGAGCAAACCATTACCATATACTGTTACTTGGTAATCAGTGCTAATTTATTATTTATTTCGGGCTTTTATATCCTGTCCTATCTCAACCTCCGCAGAGGGACTCAGGACGGCTAACAAATTGGCACCCCATGGCGCCCGCATCAAAAACATAGATACACAATTTAACAGCAATATAATAAAAACAATATAAAACAGTATAAAAACAGTATAAAAACAATCAATCAGTCAGCGGTCACCGGTTTAAATCATCATCCAAGGGCAGTGATTCAGTGCTATATAAGTCAACATGTCAGCAAGTCAGCCTAATCTACAAAGGCATGATCCCATAGCCAGGATTTTACTTGTTTCCGAAAGGTCAAGAGGGATGCAGCTGATCTAATTTCACTCGGGAGGGAGTTCCATAGCCAGGGGGGCACCACAGAAAAGGCCCTGTCCTTTGTCCCCACCAGACGCGATTGCAACCATGGGGGAACAACGAGCAGAGTCTCCCCAGATGATCTTAGGGCCCTAGGTGGATCGTAGAGGGTTAATGAAGCTGTTGTGTGATTATACACACAAACACCTGTGTGTATAATAATAAACATAGGTGGGTTATTAAGTGATAAAGTATCAAGTTACATCAACGTAATTTAGAAGAGAATGTCAGCTATCTTAATTATAAAAAGAATCTTGGTGCAATGCAACCCCATCTTTGCTTACTCACTGAGTTCGGTGAAATTAACATCTAAGAAAGTGTGCATGATCAAAGTGTTGGCTAAAGAGTAATTAACAGAAATACCTTATTCCTACCAATGAAAAGAATAGTTTCCATTTCTGCTTAAAATTAAATGGTAAAACTGCATGTGTTCGGCCATTGGCCTTGCATGTTTATTTGCTCCAAGCTTTCAACTATAAGGAACTGGGAGGTTATTTTAGAGTTTGCAAAGAAACAGATTCAAAGAAATATGTGTTCCAGCAATTGGTTGTGGCTGAAAAGTTCAGCTACAGATAAGCAGATATTGACATATTTATTCTTTAGGTGTTCTGTGGCTTCCTGATGTGTTCCTACACAGTTTCTCATTTTATTCCTCAGGGGTAAACTAGATGAGATATGGAACACCCAACAACTCATTCTTCGATTTTAAAAAAAGCAGTTGAGGGGGAAGTTTTGATTGAAGCCATGGTGCTGTGTGAGGGGGGCTAGTCCTTTCCACCGGCATCATTTCCTTGGTTCAACCTCCATCTTTGCATCTATTTTAGCCTAAAAATAGTTATCTATTTTCAAACCCACTTCTTCCAAGAAGGACATTAATGGGATAATATTCTTCACACAATCCCCATTGTAGTATAGCCCTGTATTCATGGGACTGCTGTCTGTGGTTCCATTTCTCCACATGTGACAAAGTATTGCCCTCCATTGTAGTTCTGTGGCATTCTTGGGCCAAAATCCTTCATGTGGTTAATTCTTTTGATTACCCACATGAAATCTGAGATCAAATACTTCATGGATATGAGCATTGTACTTCAACTGTTAATTTGAAAGAATACTATCTCTATCTTTGGATGTAATATATAGCTATCACAAATAGTAGTCTTCTATAAACTTATCTTCCGAAAGCTCCCATGTTACATCTGACTTTGTTTTTAATGCAACAATAATTGTAGTCAAATATTGTATTTTTGTTCATCTTTCTTCCTGCCTGATGCACAAATTACTTCCTCAATTTCATGTTCGTATAATCATATCCATATTATGTGGAACTGGGCAAATGTTGATTAGTGCTAACCAAAGTTGTCTCCAAGTAAAGGATTGTACCTTATGGGCTGCATATAGTTTAATGGAGCTCCTATTTCACACCCCAGACATTCCCATTGAAAAAACGCAAACAAATATAAGTGTGGATTGGAAGTTTGGGAGAACTGATAACAGCTAATAACATGAGAAAATGCGACTGAAAGCTTTTCTAATCCAACATCCTGTTCCTTCAGTCGTTAACCAGGTTACGTGGGGGCTGGATCACTTTAGCCTAAAAGATTAGGAGGAGGAGAAGCATTGGGGCTAATGTTGGGACATTTTATTTTGCATGGAGAACTTGGGGTTTTGACAAATGTTGTTATCTGCAGAAGGTCAGAAAAGGTCTCTACACTCCTCAAAGTAGTTCACACCTACTCTATACCAGTGACCCTATTTGGGGTCCCCTAATTGAATTTGAAGGTCATGAAACATTTGTGTAGATTGCCACTTAGTAGCTGTTTTAGACATTTACAATTTTAATGACTCCAGGAGAGAAGGAAAGAGGCAACAGAGTACGTTCTGCCACTTGAGGTTGCGAGCCCAGCATGCCACTGTGACATGAAAAGTGTTGAAGATGTCTATATCCTGCTGTATCCAGTATTCAGCCAAGATTTAATTTTTATCTAAAAATAAACAAGCGCATCCATCTTGTTAGCATGCGTCTTTAATAAATGTTAAAATGATATGTATACCAAAGAATTGTTTTAAAATAAAATTCTTTGTGATTACACTATGTAACAACATTTGACAAATTTTCTGTTCCTAGTTTGAAAGTGTTATTACTGTCTAATTGTGCAGTACTTACTTTGAACACAATTAAACAGGAGTAACACTTTCAGACTTTAATTGTGCGGTACTTACTTTGAGTGGGAGCCCCTGGTGGCACAGTAGGTTGAGCTGCTGAACTTACGAATCGAAAGATCACCAGTTTGAATCTGGGCAGCGGGGTGAGCTCCCCTCGTTAGGCCCAGCTTCTGCCAACCTAACAGTTTGAAAACATATAAATGTGAGTAGATCAATAGGTATTGCTTCTGCGGGAAGGTAACAGAGCTCCATGCAGTCAAGCCGACCACATGACCTTGGAGGCATCTACAGAGAACGCCGGTTCTTTGGCTTAGAAATTGAGATGAGCACCACCACCCAGAGTCGGACACGACTAGACTTAGTGTCAAAGGGAAAACCTTTACCTTTACCTACTTACTTTGAAAGTAGTTAAACTTCTTTTTTGTAGCTGCCACAAACAATGTTGAATTGGTTGAGACTCAATGAGATATTAATTGAAAAATAATAGCAAAACGTTCTGAAGGATGTCCTGCCAAGCAAAGTTTTTGCAGTTTAATAAACTTTTTCCATGTTTTTATGATAGATCCAATTAGAAAATGGCATTTATAACCCAGAAACAAAATCATGTCACATAGTGTTATCAATAAATGCTGGATTCCTATACCTATTTTATATACCTATATACCTGGGATCATGCAAAAATTTCTCAAGCAAAAATGGGTCATGAGTGGGAAAAGGTTAAAAATCCCTACTCCATACCATAGTTTGCCAACACATTTTGGCAGGAACTTACTAAGAACTAGCTGTCCCCTGCCGTGCATTGCTGTGGCCCACTCTGGTGGTCATGGGGGTTCTGTGTGGGAGGTTTGGCCCAATTCTATCGTTGGTGGGGTTCAGAATGCTCTGTGATTCTAGGTGAACTATAAATCCCAGCAACTACAACTCCCAAATGTCAAGATTCTATTTTCCCCAAACTCCTCCACTGTTCACATTTGGGCATATTGAGTATTCGTGTAGAGTTTGGTCCAGATTCATCATTGTGTCCACAGTCTTCTCTGGATGTAGGTGAACTACAACTTCCAAACTTAACATCAATGCCCACCAAACCCTTCTAGTGTTTTCTGTTGGTCATGGGAGTCCTGTGTGCCAAGTTTGATTCAATTCCATCATTGGTTGAGTTCAGAATGCTCTTTAACTGTAGGTGAACTATAAATCCCAGCAACTACAACCCTCAAATGACAAAATCAATTTTTTGAGTGAATAACATAGATTGGATTGTTAGGTGTCTTGTGCACAAATTTGGTGTCAATTCGTCCAGTGGTTTTTGAGTTCTGTTAATCCCACAAACAAACATTACATTTTTATTTATATAGAAGACTGGTGGATTCTCTTCTTCCATGAAGAAGAGAAGCATATAGTAATTGGGCCCACAGAGACAAACTTTGATACCCAGTTATGATTTGCAGGGGATGTGAATGTAAAACTGGTATAGAGCTTATGCACCAGTCATAGAAGAATCCTGTTTTTCTTTTTGTGCTATGTTCAACTAAAGCAGTGCTTCTCAACCTGGGGTCCCCAGATGTTTTTGGCCTTCAACTCCCAGAAATCCTAACAGCTGGTAAACTGGCTGGGATTTCTGGGAGTTGTAGGCCAAAAACATCTGGGGACCCCAGGTTGAGAACCACTGAACTAAAGAAAGTGTTACTAGTGTACAACCTTAGTTGCTGTGAAAGTATCTATTATAAACTGTATGTTGTTTTGTACACATCTGATTCTTCTCTTGCTGCTTTTTTGTTTCTTTTTTGCATCTTTCTGTTTTCTTTATACATATTTACCCAATGTTTTCCTTCAAAGATGCTGTTGTCTTTGCCCTGCTCGACCCCGGTATGCCCCTGGTGTCACTATCGAGGAAGATAACTGCTGTGGCTGCAATGCTATTGCCATCCGTCGCCACTTTCTGGATGAAAATATGGCCTCTGTGGACATTGTATATACTTCATGTCACGATGCGGTAAGGACTGTGAACAATTTCCTGGGTTCAACAACATGTTTGGGCAATTTAGAGCCACATACTAAAGTGAAACTGTGGTAGAACATTTTAGAAGCTGTTCAACCAATTAAAATTTACTATTGGGTGCATACAGATGGGTGGATGGATTACATCTTTGTTCAAAGAAAAGTCTTTGTGCAAAGAAAAGTGGCAGCCTGTCTTACAGGACAAACCTCTTAAATTTGACTTGTAACTGAATTCTTAGATATAGTTCTAATCAGACCGAGATTTCGGAGCGTGGCATTTGGTCATGGGAAAGAAAGAAAGAAAGAAAGAAAGAAAGAAAGAAAGAAAGAAAGAAAGAAAGAAAGAAAGAAAGAAAGAAAGAAAGAAAGAAAGAAAGATGTCCAGTAGAGAAAGCATGAACTTTTGGGATCCCTTCCAAGTTTAAGTATTTGGTGATTCTATCTTTCTGTGTACGTGGAAGTGGAATTAAGCTCAGGTTTTGCTTTTCTAATAACCTTCATCCATCGTATGGCTCTTTTATTCTCATAATTTGAGATAGGGCAGTCCATTACAGTAAGATTGTATATTTTAACATGGCACTGCATTTTCTTCAGGTCTATGAAACTCCCTTCTATGTGGCTGTAGATCATGAGAAAAAAAAAGTGGTTATCAGTATCCGAGGAACTTTGTCTCCAAAGGTAAAAGTGTGTTTGTTCATAGTGTGTGCCATGTTATGCTCTATTTCTAAGACTCTGCAAATTACGTGGGTGGGTCAAAAAGTTTTGTCTCCTGTATCATAAAAATGTTATAAATGAACATATAACAGCAGCAGTTACAACAGATCATAGCCTGAACTGTCCTCTACACAAAACTTCCATTCGATATAGTCACCATCAATTTGTACACATTTGCACTATCAGGGTTTTGCTTCATGAACCATGATTTTAAAGTTGTTTTAACATCATTCAGTGTCAGACTACACAGAGAAGCCAGAGGCCCTCTGGAAGACAATGAACGTGGTTTCAGATTCAATGATTTGAATGACGCTGAGACAGCTTTAAAATATGAATCACGAAGCAAAACCCTGAATTTTTCCGAAATGGGTTTAATGCCTGGATTAAACAGTGGCGCAAATGTGTACAAATTGATGGTGACTATATTAAATAGTAATTTTGCATAGAGGACAGTTCAGGCTATGATCTATAGCAACTTCTGTTATTATATGTTCATTTATAACATTTTTTATGACACAGGAAACAAAACTTTATGACCCACCCTCATATTAACAAGTATCTTGTTAAGATTCATAATAGTGACTCAGACTTCCATCTGATTAGACGTCCCTGTCCTTCCTTAGGATGCACTGACTGATCTGACTGGAGATGCCGAGCGCCTCCCAGTGGAAGGGCATCATGGAACCTGGCTTGGGCACAAGGTAGTTACAAGATCAGCTGGGTCTTCCTTGGCTAATATGTCATTTCATTTCTCTCTCTTTCTTATAAAAGGTATATTTATTTTAAAAGGTTTGTGAACCTGCTATTGAATTTCTTAGCAAAAAGTCTTGAACTTATTATACCAGTTGCAAAAGATTCTTGTAGGAACCTTGAGAGTAACTATGAGAAAGAAGCTAGAGGCATAAGCTTCTTGCTTTAGCAGGTGAATGGAGTAAAGTGGCTATAATTTCTAGTTGTTAGTGAAACCAAAGAATAAACATATAAAAAGTAGCACCTACTACTATCCTTACACAGTTCCTCTCGCTGTCTAATGCAGAACTAATCTCAAACACAAGTTTTTTAAAAAACAGTATTCCTGCAATATTTTGGTGTTGTCATGGGGCACAAAATATCCGCCAGTGTTGTAGCCATTTTCCACCCAAAACATTGTATTTGTACAGCAATTTGAAATGGCTTCAAATAAAATTAGCAGTATTGATCTGACCATAAGGAAGACCACCACAAACTTGTTTGTAGATGATAAATGGTGCTAGTTAAATCATCTATAATGCTAAGTAGAGACATGAGAGAGAAGAGGCGGACTTTTGGGTAAAGTAGACATGGTAAAATTAGGAGTTATGGAAGAATGAAAGTGATAAACGTTCTAGGATGTGTAGTTTTCATAAAATTATACAAATAGAAGGACTTTCAGAAAGTCCTTATATAAGGAGTTTCTGAATGTAAGGGACAGGAAATGAGTGATAACTCTTCTGCTAATGGCTAAAATTAAATATACAATAGGTTGAAGATAGTAGAGGTATTAAATAATACATTCATAGTTTTGGAATAAGAGTAGGGAAAGAATTAGCATTCCTCCATCATCACACCTGGAAAAAAGCAATTATTATGCAAGAGATCACTCTAGCATAACAAGATGGTGGCCCCAACTCTGGTTTGTGTGAGCCAACACAATTACATGTGCCAGCAGATGTTATCATGGAATGCAGTGGAGTGAATGACAAGGGGGAAGAAGTTGATTCTGGACATCTGAACGACTTGCAGAGAGGCAAAGGGGGGAAGTGAAGAAGGATGGAAGGGAGAAGAGGAGGAGGAGAAGGAGAATAGGGCATGGTATGGAGGAAAGTGAGAGTAAGTGGTATGGTAGTCTCTGACAAAAAGGCTGGCATTCTGAAATAGAAAGGGGCTGCATCAACATAAATTTCTGGGCAAAAAGTTCTTTATGTCTGAGAGAGACTTTTGCATCAGGCTGGGATTGGTAGAAGACAAAGTACAACCAGCAAATCTGAAGTCTGCCTTTTGTAAGGATTATGCACAAACAATTTCAAACTACCGGTACCATTTAAAATGCCATCTCATGCAGGCATTCCTACAATTCTCATCTAAGTATTTTCCCCTCCCTTTGGAATTTGGCATTAGTATTTGCCTTAATAATTACTTCCATCTGGTAACTATTTCAGTATCAGGTTATACTCATCACCAATCTTTCTCTTTCGTCTGTAGAAAGCCCTTCTGTCACCACATAATTGCTTTAGGAGATATGGAAGAGACCAACATTTTTTCAAGCTTTACTTTTAGCTTGTGAAATTTAACAGATTTTTTTTTACTGTCAGAATTGTAAGCTTATAGTTCAGTAAGTAAATTCATAATTCAGCTGTTTTTCTAATTCCTGCTGCTATTAGTGTAGAGGTGCTGCAGTAATGGTTCTTTCTCCTGACCTCTGAATGAAGTACATTAAAAACTTCAGTAAAAATCAGGTGCTTTGCCTTTTGCAGAGTAACTTTTGTAGCACTGGCATGTTACAGTGCAATTGCAGTTCTTTAGGTGGTCATTAAAGGGGTTTAGGACAGGGTTGAGCTACATCTGCAGAGGGAAAGAGGAGCTGTTTTGGTGATAGTGAGCAGATAGGTGCTGGTATTTCCACAAAATGATCTATGCCATTGTAGGGTGGCTTTGATCTGTTTGGTCCCTTGATTCCCCAAAGGTCTTCTGCATGAAACTGTCACAGTTTGCTCTTCCCCACTAGCTTTTAGGGAAATTTAAAAATAAATAAATATCCACTGTTTTTTCAAGCTTGCCAGGGGTAGTTCCACCTCTCTTCCACTCCCAGTACTTTGAAATGTTGTGGTTACTTGTAATGTTGGATGTTATTCAGGGTCCTGATACAGATAGCTGAGTTCTGATAAAGATCTTGTTTTCCCTGCTCCTTTCTGCCTCCTTCCAGGGAATGGTGCTGTCTGCTGAGTATATAAAAAAGAAATTAGAGCAGGAAATGGTGCTTTCCCAGGCCTTTGGTCGTGATTTGGTGAGTTTCAGTTTTTCTGCATTGTGGTAAAGAGAAAAGTTTGTGCTTTCATCCGTGCTTTCCTCTTACAGCCTGTTCCATGATATATCATAATTACTGGAAACACTGTCAGCTTCCCATAGCTTTTACCAATTATAGCTGCTCTTGGCCACTAGATGAGTAATCCGTTGTTCTGAAAAATAGTTGCTGGAAGCAGTACTTGGAAAAATTAGGTCACAGAATTTGGGAAATGAAAAGGATGGTGAAATCCCAGGATGCTAAAAATAGAGCCAAAATTCAGGTGAAAACCATATTCACATTGATGGCTCACTTGGGCTTTGTTACAAAGTGGTGTCACATATTTGCCTCACCTAAGGAATGTATTTTCTCTTTTCCTTCAGTAGTACTGCAGTTTATGCTATCATTATATATGTAATTCTTTGCTAATCTGTGTGTTGCCTATTCAGGACAATTCTGAAAGGAAAAAAAGGAAGGAAATGTAGATATACTTTCAGAATTTGCTTTTTTTTCAAATTCTAATACGAATTAATATTGGAATTTGAAAAAACAAATTCCTCAAGCATATCTACATTTGATTTTTTTTCTTTCTTTCAGAAGACTCTAATTTATAGTAGAAGGGAGGCCAGTTAAAATGCTTTCTTCTTCTTATGCTTCCAGGATCTCCTGTCTACAAAAGTTGTCTTAGGATCCATGCTCTTGTCTCTACAAAGTGATCCAGTCATTAGAGGAGGATCTTAGGAATGCCAGTTTTGTGTAGTAGATGTTGATGTATATGTGTTGATGAACTATGTGTATGAGTAGGTTGGGTGAAGGAGATATTTTTTACCTAAGTCAGCAATGAAGGTATTGAAGAACAATTACTACAATCTGTAAGTATCTAATTTACTTTTGTTTTGCAGGGCAGAGGAACAAAGCATTATGGCCTCATTGTGGTTGGGCATTCCTTAGGAGCAGGCACAGCTGCCATTCTGTCTTTTTTGCTCCGTCCACAATACCCAACTCTAAAGTGCTATGCTTACTCTCCCCCAGGTGGACTTTTGAGGTAAGTGTTTGTTTTTATTAAACAAAGGAAATATGGCAATGTACCTTCTGAGACTGTACCATTTCTATTTTTAAGTATGTTGAATTTATTAAGCCATTGAAGGCTCAGTATAATCTTACCAACATGAAAGTAAAACTACTACATACACAAGCTCTTTTAGCATCTCTTTGAAAAAGTGGGTACAAAATAGCATTTTGTCTGTGTCCTAAATTATATACACACACACACACAYAYATATATATATATATAKAKAGAGAGAGAGAGAGAGAGAGAGAGCGCTACTGTACGTGGTGAGTAGGCTAAAARCAAAMAAAACTAAGAGGGCAAATATCACCACATTTGGCCTCCAGATGCCTCAAGCCCCAAGGTATGACCATCAATTAAAAAAAAAAAACCTAAACAGTGAAAATAGCTTTAAAATCCTAAAAAAATTACATATACATTACAACACATGCGCAAAACCCCRCCTCCTCCTGTGTGAGAGGGGAAACAAACAGCCATCCATAGCAAAGCAGCTGGCTGCCCCTGCTTYGGGAGCCAAGCCAGCAGCCCTGCAAACAGCCAGCTGATAAGCCAGCCAAGGAGAGGAGGAGAAAGCCCCCCCCCCCCCCAGGAAACAAACCACCCAGCAAAGCCGCTCTGAAAAGCAGCCCTTATATAAAAGCCTCCACACCAAATCAGAGAGAGAGAAGGAGGAGAAGGGGTTATCCRTGGCTCCTTCCACCGCCACTCACTTCACTTGGGACTACTCAAGAAAAAGAAAGGATAAACCTTGAGGGAGACAAGAGAGAGACCGAGAGAGGGAAGGACGGAGGGACAGAACAAGCAAAGAAGCAAGCAAGGAAGGAAGGAGAGGCGTTCTGCAGCCATCATGCAAGGAAGGCGAGAGGGAAAGGAAAGGGAAGGAGGGAGGAGCAACACCAGGAGGAGGCCGCACAAGCCTCGAAAGAGACACAGGGTTCAGTAACAAATCTCATACTGTATGTATGTATGTGTGCATGTGTATATGTATATGTATGTGAGTGTATATGTGTGTGTGTGTGCATATGTGCATGTGTATGTTATTTGTATATGTGTGCAGGCCTGGGCCTACTTGGGCCCTCCAGGCATTTTAGACTTCAGTTCCCACCATTCCTAACAGCCACGCTGATCTTGACTATTAAGTATAGTGGGAATTGAAGTCCAAACTGTCTGGAGGGCCCTAGTAACACACATGCACATATGCACACACACACATATACACTCATATACATACACATATATAAACACATAAATACATATATATACACATACACATACATAACACATGTGTACACACATATACACATGCACACATACACATATATACATATACACATATATGCACACATATATACACATGCACACACATATACACACATATACAGATACATTGCCCACCTTGATAACTTTTGAAAAGCCTTGAAGCCTAAAAGCCTGGCTTCGTCCTCCCTACAAGAAACCTTTGCGAGGAGGTGTTCCCTAACCCACATTGTTTCATGTCTGGAATTCCTGTTTTCTGGGGGCCATAGCAACGCGTGGCCAGGGCACAGCTAGTACATATATATATATTCCTTCAGGGGTGTAGCAAATATTTTCCCTATTTCTGTACATTACTGGTTTTGTACATACAAAAATCAATTTAAAAGCATTGCAGGATTTGGAAGCCAATAGTCAATTTTAGCTTAGATTATTCACTGTGTCTCATGATGGTCACAAATGATCAGCCACTGCCAGAACGGACAGAGAGTTTCCTCTATGCTAGCAATCGTGTCATCGCCGCTCCAGCAGGGAGCTTTGAAATTGTTGAACAGAAGCTCTCTGAAGCTTTAGGTGCTCTTACTGCCTATTACAGGGAAAACCAGCTGATTCCTAATCTATCTAAAATGGAGACATGTGCTTTTCATCTTAAGAACAGACAAGCATCTTGAGCTCTGAGGATTGTCTGGGAAGGAGTCCCACGGGAGCATTGCAGTATACCAAAATACCTGGGAGTTACTCTGGGCTGTACTCTGACTTACAAGAAGCACTGGTTGATTATCAAGCAAAAAGTGGGTGCTAGAAATAATATTATATGAAAGCTGACTGGCACAACCTGGGGATCACAACCAGATACAGTGAACACATCTGCCCTTATGCTTACTCTGCTGCTGAATATGCATGCCCAGTATGGAATACATATCACCACGTTAAAAGAATGGATGTGGCTCTTAATGAGACAAATGCTGCATTATCACAGCATGTCTACGACCCAGACCACTGGAGAAATTATACTGTTTAGCTGGTATTGCACTACCTGATATCAGTCGGGAAGTTGCAGCCAGTAATGAAAGGACCAGACTGTGCTCTGGTACTGTGAGATGAAGAGTTAATCTTAAGAAATGAGGTTACAACGTGGAGTCCACAACATGCCAGTGTGGAGAAGGGCAAATCACAGACCACTTACTACAATGCAGTCTGAGCTCTGCCATATGCACAATGGAGGACTTTTTTGCAGTGACACCAGAGGCACTCGAAGTGATCAGCTTCTGGTTAAAGGAAATTTAGTATAATACCAATACATTATAACTGTATTCTCAATTCACTTCTGACACGATAAATAAATAATATATTGGTCTTATCTTAACAGAAGAGTTAATAATCTCCAAAGCAAATTTGCAGTACTGACTTTTTATTTGTTAAAAAAAGCCAATTAGTCTGTTAGAGTTTATTAGATCACCTCCATTTTTATGAGCCTCATATTTCACCCAATCTTTTTATATTTTTGTTTCTCATGAGGATTGTTGAATAGCTAGTAGTTTGTATCTTTTCCTCATTCAATATTTGGTTAGAGGTTTGGTTGTTCTCTTATATACAGTGCTAGAGAGTTGCTCAGCATATGGAGCTTCCTTGATGTACTTTTTCAGAGAATTGATATATGACAATAAATTAGATTTCTTTAAAGAAATCTGTAGGAAGAAATCTCTGGAACTGGATTCTTAGGATTCAGTATTGTCGGTAGTCCCTAAAAGTTTTTGTGTTACACTGTATTTCTAGAGTATGTTACCAATGAAATACCTTTTTATGTTTATCTATAGACATTTTGAAACCAGACACATTTTTTTTTCTTAATGTATGGTTCTGTAAGATTGCAATAGCAGTTGAATACTGTCAGGTAGACCAATAAAAAATAAATGCTCAGGATCTTTTTCTGCTGTGGATGTTAGGTTTGTCAGTTATGCAATTAGGATGGAGAATAGCTCTCTCTTGCTGTGGCATCATAGAATCGGGAGAGACCACATCGATCAAGGACAGTATTGCCCACTTTTTACCATGGAAACTTACATACAAATGAAGGGAATCATGTTGGCATATCTTGACTGAGAATCACATGCAAATTATTCACTAAAACCAATCCTGAAAATACTTGACTTTTTGATATTTTCTTTTTCATTATTCTTCTTATGGATAAGGGCCATTTTTAGAATTATGATCACATTTTACACTTAGAGGCTTCAGATCAGAGGATTTGCTTACTGATCCCTAGGTTAAACATTATGTTTTTGGTGGTTTTTGGCATTCTAATCATCAGATGTTTCAATCTCGGTAATGAATGAGATGTTCTTCAGTTTATACTGTTCTTCTATGGTTTTCACTGAATAAAATATACAAATAATATACTGATGATTCAGTACATGTTTTTAGCTTTACATATCTGGAGTAGTTTATAAAGTTTTGAGTCTGGCATAGTAATGAGCAAGCACTGTCCTAGCTGTAAGTATCTGTAGATAGGGTGGGTATTTTTTGATTCAGATAATTTGTTGTGTGTCAGTGGAATCACACCAACTTCTTCTTGCTTCCTGTTTCTGTTCCAGTGAGGATGCCATGGAGTATTCCAAAGAGTTTGTGACTGCAGTTGTTCTGGGTAAAGACCTAGTCCCCAGGTAAGTCAAAAAGTCTAGTATTCTGTTTCTCATTGTAGATTTGTTCAATCTCTAAGCTCTGGGTTTCTCATGTTAAAGGTCTCAGTACATTAGTCTTGCTTCCCATTTATCTGTCCTCATGTGCTTCTTGCTCACAATTTCTTTCCTAGCTGCCTATATACTTAAATTTGTGTATTTTTAACCTGGACATATGCACTGATGTGTCACATCCCTCCCCTATCATTCAACTTCCTGTATTACTGAAAAAGGTGGATATGTTGGTTCCACAGTTGTGTTCCTTGTGGCATCTAATATATATTTTCCATCTCCTAAGTTATCTGCATTGTCATTTACACATTTGTACTCTCTCCCAGGTCATCTCTTCTGAGCCATCTTACACGTGTGAATTGTCTCCTGGCTATGTCTTCCGTGTCATCTTCAATCTATCTTGTATCTTGACCTATGAGTGTTGTCACCTCATTCCTGTCTAACATCCTTGTATTATGTGAGCCCTGTTGTCTTACAGTCATGTTTTGTGTACTATGGTTTTCATATCCTTTGCTTACTTGTGCCTTTTCATCTCATATTGCTACCTATAATTTTCTGAGTTATTTGTTATTTTATCATCTCACATCTTTTTACAATCTCCTTGTCATGGCAAATAGATTGCAGGTATGAATTATTTTGTAGTATTTAAAATTTGTAGAAGCATAAGCACTTCCCAAATCATTGTCCAGTAATTTGGGGATTTAATGTACGGTTATATTACCTTGTTTAAAAAAAAGAATAATAAAGCAGTAAAGGGACAACTATTGTAGTTTGTAATTGCAAAGAGAACATTCTTCTTGGCCAGACTTTTATGAGCTTCTGGGGATTTTATGAGCAAAATCTGTACTATCTCGGTGCTTGTGAAAACAGGCTAGTGAGCAGAAGTCAGTTTGCCCAAGTCTACAGAGCAGCAGGTTTCACTGAGTTTCTGTAACATCTACATTTCCACTTTCTCTGTTGAATTGGAGATACCAACACCTTTCATTTATGTATCTAGTTCATTTTAAACTCTGTGGAAGAAAATACTGTGAGCTAATTTTTGTTGCCTTATATAGAAACATCCTTTGCTTCTGTATGTCTTGTGATCTGAGTCATAATTCTTTTTACCTATATACAGTCTTCTCAATTTGACTGTTTCATCTGTGATGTGGGACCTAAATTTTTCAGTCATTATTTTTGGTTTGTGAATTATGCTACCTTGTGTCCTGTTAGATATTGATCTTTCACATCTCTACAGACAATTTAACTTGTCTGCATTTTTAATTCAATACCATATATATGGTGTTATGCTCTTATTGGTGGGTTTCTATTTGATTATCTTCATTATGTCTCATATTTCTCTAACGGGTTAATGGCTATCCTGAGTATATATACATACATTTCCCTAGTAATCTTATGGATTAGTCTTCTCTCATTCTATCACTTTGGTTGTTGTAATAGTTATATTTGCATCACTGTATCTGATTCTTTTTATCATTCAGGATTGGCCTTTCACAGCTGGAGGGATTTCGCCGACAGCTACTTGATGTTTTGCAGAGAAGCACCAAACCAAAGGTAAAATTACAAGTGTAACAGAAAATAAATGGTTTGTCATTTTACATCCCAAGTGGTTCCCGTTCCTCCCCCCCCCCCCCACACACACACATGTTCACAGTTTTAATACCCATATTTTTTTATTATTCATGTGTTTGCCACTGCTCCTCCAAGCCTCTGTCCCATTCTTCCAAAACACAAAGTCAGTTATAACGAGGAGAAGTCTGGAAGGACAACTGGTGTAACAGGTGAAGAACCGAGCCTCTGCTGCCCTCCTTTTCTGCCTGTCTCTCCACCTCTCCCCTACATCTGGAGTTCAAGAGGGAAAATGGGAGCAGGGCCTCTTTCTGCCTTCCTCCTTCCCTGTTGCACCCTTGCTCTCTCTCCTGCAGCCAGAGCTCACATGGGACTCCAGTCACATCAAGGAGAAGGAATCTGGGAGACAGTTGGGGAAACATGAGGAGGAGGAAGGTGACAGTCTTCCTTACCTTATTTGCTAGACACCATCTTCCCTACTTCATTTCTAGACACACACCTACCCATATTGCTTCTCCCTAATAGGCCTGGTGCCTCCTTGCACACCCAGGTTGCGTGAGAGAAAGACCCGGGGGGAGGGGGCAAGCAGAGAGAGTGGTAAGAGAAGGCAGTGACTAACAGAGGAGGGGAGAATAGATGTGGCGTCTTCCTCAACACATGCAGATATTTTCTCAGCTGCTCCCCCAAATGTCTTCTCCTTGCTGTGACCAGAGCTGCCTCATGAGGGGAGAGAGGGGAGTGGGAGGGAAGATGCTCACTTCCCAACTCCATTCCCCCAACACCTATCCCTCACAGACTCTTCTCCACTGCTTTCAGAGCCTCCACAAGCACCCCACCTGTGGAGAAAAATGGGCAGGGAGGGAAGGCAGATAAGCCCGAGGACTGTGATAGTAGTGATGGTAGTGTCCCATTTCCTCTCTCTGGCCCCACGCTACCTCTAAGAGATACTTAAGTTCTTTCCACCTTCATGTGAGTTCTCCATCCCTAACCTCAGAAATGTGGAGAGTCAACTGTACTTTTTATGATGCATCTTCTTTATGCCATTTGGACTAGTAGGCTTCTGACATTGTTAGAAAAAGATTACCTCAGAATAAGGAAGTCCTTATTATACTGCTTGAATTTATATTGTAGAAAAACATCTCATGCTAACATTAGCATAGCATGTGATGTCTCTCTGCCCCTAGCTTTTCCTTCCTGTCTTATGATTGTTACATACTCTGCCTTTGAAGGTGATGACATTTTCAGCTGACCTTGTTTCCAATATCACTGTCCCCCCTATGTCGTTTTCATAGTAATTCATTTTTATTAATATTCTATTACAGCCACCAGCCATCATGATATATTTTTTAAAAAAATATATTGGAAGAGGATAAACCAATAATTAGGCTTTCAGCCTGTCAGCGTAATTACTATGTGTTCCCTTTCTTCCTCCCTCCCTCCCTCCCTTCCTTCCCCCCTCCCACCCTCCTCCCCCCCCCCAATATATAAACACACATACATACATACATACATACATACATACATACATAGCAGATGCCACATCTTCAGCTTTACTCTTAGACAAATGTCTTCTCTTAAATATTAGGCTTTSTCTACTAGATATTTTTTCTCTCCTTCCTTCCCATGACCATAATGGCACACTCCTAAACCTTTGTCTGATTGAAACTAGATCTGAGATTCAGTTGCAATCCGAACTTAAGGGGTTTTATCCTATAAGATACGTTGCCACTTTCCTTTGCACGAAGTAAGACACTGAGTGATATTTTTACTGAGTCTAGCATTTTTTTAATGTCACAGACTTAGAATCAAGTTAATTCATAGTGTTGAGAATAGCTATAGATCGCCTTGCTATTTAAAAAAAATGAAAACCAAGGGGAAATGAGTGGTTGTTTTATTTTCTACATCATCAAAACCTATCTGAAGCTCATCTTTTAAGATTTATCTTTAAGATTCAATTTAATCAGTCATCAAAACATACTGATATGAATTTTCCTAATCTCTTCCTTTTATACCATGATGTTATTTCTGTCTTGCACTTAATGGCATTATCTCAGAGTCCTTCCTTGCTTTTTCTTCCCTTCAACAGTGGAGAATCATTGTGGGTGCAACAAAATGCATACCCAAGTCTGAGCTTCCTGAAGAACCCGAAGCAAATTCGGTGACCAGTAACCGCCTCTGGACTCATCCCAGTGACCTGACTATCGCCCTGTCTGCTAGCACACCACTCTACCCTCCTGGTCGCATCATCCATGTGGTACACAATCACCCAGCTGAGCAGTGCTGGTAAGTGAAACTGAGAGAAAGATGAATAAAGTCCGCTCTGGGATTTTCAGTTTTCCTGGATAAAATTGTATGTTTTCCATGCATTCTTTTATAACTTGTAAAGCTGTGCATATGTGCATATTCCTCCCCTTTGATCCTTGAAGTTTGATGTTACCTATTTTTTGATGTTACCTACCCTCCATGGAAGAAAGTACCTGGAAATTTTAGTTAAGTACCTTCCCACACTAAAAAAAAACAAACAAAAATAAAAATAAAAAAAACTTTTTGGAAAAAACAAACTATGGTTTTAAATCTTCACGAGATATATACATTTGTTTACGGTCAATGACCAGCACCAAAAAATGTACAAACATCAAAATAAGAACATATACATTTAAGCATTAAGAAACAATGTCAAAAGCAAAGTAAAGCAAAGTTCACGAGACATAACAAACCCAAAAAATGTTTGTAATACGTTTAATTGCCCAAATATCTCAACTATGCAAAGGTTGTTTCATCAGGAAGGTTGGCCAAGTAATTCACAGCAGTCAGTGACTTTTATCAGATATAAGTTCTTAATCTAAACAGCTTCTCTTCATCCACATGCTTGTTTTGCCTGGTTTACTGAATATCTACAAGCAGGATCTCATCCAGTATTCCAAACATGGATAGAACATCTGAGGGATTTCTTCCTCGGTTTGTTGTTGTTGTTGTTGTATCTTCGCCACCTCTCCTCATAGCTTGAGGCTGGTTACAACATAACTAAAAACACATAGTCATAACCACTATATAAAATACACATATTAAAACACATATGTGACGATGTGTATTTTTATTCCTATAGCTGTGTGTTGTTAATAATGGTAAGTATGTAGAATTATATTTTGTTAGAGATGGTGGCTGGCTTGGCTTGCCTTTAGCTGAGTTGCCATAGCAACAGGGGCAGTTGTCAAGTGTCAACTGCCACTTGACAGTGCAGCTCTTTGAAAGTGGGCAGTCTGTGACCAAAGAGTTACAGGAGAGGATCCTGCAGTGAGAGGATCCAGGAACTGATCTGTAATTAGTGTAATTACAGAGGTAGTCAATCCTGTGTGGAAGTGGAAATCCAACAAGAATCCTGTAGTGATAGATCTACAGGGGGTGACTGATTCTTGGTTAAGAATCAAGGTTTGGCTTGGAGCCAATACAGCTAAATAAGTCAAGTGGCTTATTTGTTTTACTAGAACAGTTGTCAAAGAAGGAGATATCTACTTAAAGAAACCTTTTGAAGTCTGTTTAGTACTTAAAGTTATTCAAGAAACCTTATCAATGTAACCAACTAAGTTTGTGCCTCTAGAGAAGTAACATTGAATCTATTCTACTCCTGTTATATTCCAATAAATTTGTTACTGGTTTTTCACAAGCCCTGCCTCTGATACAGTTTCTTCTAAGTCAAACAGCCCTGCATAAGAAGTAAGACCAAATCAGGGACATTAGATGCTACACTATCAAATAAGTAAATCCTTCTTTAATTAGTAGTCCCTTTATAAAACAGTTCCTAAGTTGATATTGATAATTACACGGCTTCCTCACAACATATTTCAATAAAATACATATATTAAAATACACAGATTAAAATATAGTGAACACAAAAAGTGAGTTTAAAATTCGTGATTAAACCTGATTGAATAGGTCTGCCAGAAGAGATATAGCTGTGAGATCTCTTCCAGCAGGTCATTCCACAGTCTTGGGGCAGCCAATGAAAAGGTCCTCTGTTGAGTTCTGACTGGTTGGAGTAGCAGGCCCCCAAAGGACCAAAGTGTTTGGGGCAGATTGTATGGGAAAAAGACATCTTGTAGATAACTTGAACCCAAACCATGTAGAGTCAAAACCAACACTTTATACCTTGCCCGGAAACTTATTGGCAGCCAGTGACTTTAGTATGAGTATAATATGTTCACTCTTGGATGTTCCTCTAACCAATCTGGCTGCCGTATTTTGAACCAACTAGAGTTTCCAGACTTGGTACAAAGGTAGCCCAATGTAAAGGACATTGCAGAAGTCCAACCTTGAGTTTACCAGTGTGTGTGCTACCATCTTTAGGAAGGTAATACAGTTGAAGTTTCCAGTCTGAACAAATTCAAGATCTTTTAATAGTTAATGACTGAATAGCACCTGAAGAAAAACTGATTTGTTATTGTTGGCATCTTCTTTCTCCATAAAATGTTATTTAATAGGGGAGCTTGAATCTTTATGCTTCTGCCTTTACAATAGTATCAGTTAAGTAAATTTTATAGTTTGTGCTGTGACTACAGAATAGCACTTGAATGATTCTGCAACTTTGAACTGAAGGGTGATTTGTTCAAAACCACTTATGACATCATTAATTGCAGTGTTAGGTCTTTGGAATGACAGTATCTTCTTGTATGTGGCAGTGCATCTGCCCTGAAGTTGTATCTTCTTGTATATGGCAGTGCATTGGCCCTGAAGTTGTTATTCTCCTCTCTAGCATTCTTTCTTTCCTATGGCTATACTTCCCCTGACATCTTTTTCAGCTGCTGTGATCAGGAAGACCCAACATATTTTGCCATTTGGGGAGACAACAAAGCATTTAATGAAGTGATAATTTCCCCAGCGATGCTTCATGAACATTTGCCATATGTAGTAATGGAGGGTCTTAACAAGGTAATAATGTACTTTTGACTTCGGAATAAATGGGAAGGGTAAAAGGAGAATCTGAAATACCGTGCTTATTATCTTATTGTAAATCATTGAGTTTCAATGATTTACAATGATTCAGTCTCAAACATTTGTACCAGAGTTTGAGACTGGAGGAAGGGATGGTGCTGAATCTGTGATTTACAGATGTAAAGGGGCGCAGACATAGTATAGGAGATGTTATGGTACAGACTGTGATTGTTTCATTGTCTGGAATTTGAGAGAACAGTGAACAAGCTCCTGCAGACCCACAGTAGTCTGAAAATGGGGATTCTGGGCAAAAGCAATATATGTATAGAAATCCTCTTCTGTCACAAACCAGGACTGGGAAGGCACCTTTGAATGAATCTCACATTCCAGAGTCCAATGAATAAGCAAAGCAGTTTATAGAAGATTAAATGTAGTTTCAGCAAAAGAATAAAAGCAATAAAAAGTAATATGTTTTGATGCAGAGTATATTTAGGAGTGGTGTGGCCTTTCATAGAAATTAGAGGTGCGCCGTTCAGCAAAAAACCATGCCATTTTTGGTGCCCGTTTTTCAGCTGCCCCCCATTTCACTTTTAGGGAATTTCCTGAATTCAGGAGGCATGTCTGTTTTCATACCAGAAAGAGTCTGTCCATTGCTGCCAATTGAGAAATTTTAGAGGCTCATTTCTCCCATCATTTTTAGGCCTATCCAGCATGAAACTTGCCTTACTTGTAGGCTACATTTACTTTTGCAAGCCTACCAAGTTTTGGAGCGTTTCATCAATCCACTAATTTTTTGAAAATTTTAAACGTATTTATCATAATTTTTTAAAAAAGCACAAAGAGGGGGTTCTGGGAACTGAAGTTCCAAGCGCACATCACAAGAGGGGAGGAGAATGGAAACAATCAACCAGCCTCTGATTGGCTGAGATAGAAGTGAGAAACACACAGAGAGAGAAATCTCAACTCCCATCATACCCTGGGAGGGAGCATAAAGCTTGCGCCAGACAAAGTGTTGTGGGGAAAACAAGTTCCCATTTGCTTCCAATGGGTGCAAAAGCAGGAGGGCCTTCGGGAATGGATCGATGAGCCTGCTGGTGAAGAAAGCAAAGGAGGACAACTTTACTGTTTTGTGAGGCTGTCCTGCCCACATGCCGTCTCCTCCGCCTGAGCCCCATTGGTACTCATTAGTCAAAATAATTCAGTTGCTGTGATCTATACCAGCTAAGGGTTCAGCTGCCCCACATCAGGTTCGTTTTCATGGATTTGGCAGCCAAATCCGTTGGACCATCCAAATCCGGTACACAAAAACGAAATGGGTCTCCACCAAAAAAAAAAATCATTTTCACCTATTTTTCACCTATGAGACAAGATGTGAGGAGCACAACCGTCTTGCAATAGTTTTGAACATGTTGACATTTTGGTACCAGAATCAAAAATCACATTTTTGAGAGGGAGTCTGAGGACTCCGGGGTATAATTCAGGTGTCTAAGGACTGAAAACGGGGGAATTGAGGAACCACATGGGAACCGCAGGCTGTACTTCTCCCACTTCCATATACGTCAACAGAAGTCCCTGCATTCTTGAACTCTTCACACTACCATCAGGACTATCATGATAGTTTCTGCATTTCAAACCTTAGCATAACATCACTACAGGATTCCTACTTGTTTTGCCTCTGTAAAGCTTTCATATTATCATATATTGATTACTGGTGATACACTTGCATTGTCTGCTCTCTGTCTCGGCACTGGTTTGATATTGATCCACAACATTGAGAAAAATGAAGAGGTTAGAGTGGAAATGGTAACTCTACAAAACTGTTCTCTGCTGGTTTACTTTGCATAGGTCCTGGAGAATTACAACAAGGGCAAGACAGCTTTGCTTTCTGCAGCCAAAGTGATGGTGAGTCCTACAGAGGTGGACCTCAACCCGGAGTTAATCTTCCAGAATCAACCCCTGCCTAGTAGACCTTCTGTGCAGATTGGAATTGGAGAAATAGCAGTGGACAGAAGGAACAGCAGTGCTAAGTAAGGATATGGCTCTGATTTTTTTCTAGAAAGATCTACCAAAGGCTGCTGGTACCGTTATCCCTTCCTGCTGTGTAATAACTGCTATTGTGTTGGTGGATGTCGTGGTGTCATAAACAAGGAGTCCTGTCTGCAGTGTGTTCTGCTGTGGCTTGTTCCAGGAGATTACAGGGTAGCGTGGTATTAGTATTAGTCTCATATTTCTGTATTCTCCTTTTGCAGGAGTAAGCCTCACACTGAAATCAATTTGGAAGGGTTTTATGAGACCAAGCTTCTGTCTCCAGTGCAGAAGGATCCTGTGGAGATCCTGCTTCTCGATACCAAGGAGCGCCTTTCTGTAGAACTGCAGGACCGGCGTGCTCCTCTTGCCACAATGGAGAGCCTGTCTGATAACGAATCCATCTACAGCTTTGACTCAAGGCGTTCCTCTGGTTTTCGTAGCATCCGTGGCTCACCCAGCCTCCATGCAGTCATGGAAAAAGATGAGACTCACTGTTTTTATATTGATCCAGCAATCCCTGAGGAGAACCCTTCTCTGAGTTCACGGACAGAGCTGCTTGCTGCCGACAGCCTTTCCAAACACTCACAGGAAACTCAGCCTCCCGAGGCCATGCCCAACAGCGGAGGCACCACTCCTCAGCGGCAGTGCAGTGATGAAGAGGCTGGCAGTGATACTGACCACATTTCCTTCACTCCTCGGGAGGAATTGTCCCTTCATAATGGGAGGCTCAGTGATGACCCTAGTCCACAAGTATTGGAGTTTGCAGAGTTTATAGATAGCCTCTTTAACTTGGATAGCAAAAGCAGTTCCTTTCAGGACATCTACTGCATGATGGTATCAGACAGCACCAGCGATTTTGCCGAGATGCCCAAGTCTGTCAGTGATCAGGAGATCCTGCTAAGAGCACAGTATGAACCCAACTTAGTTCCAAAGCCCCCCAGGTTATTTGCAGGCTCAACAGATCCTTCCTCAGGCATATCGGTTTCTCCTTCTTTCCCCCTGAGTTCTTCTGGAGAGCTAATGGACATTACACCTACCGGCATGAGTAGCCAGGAATGCCTGGCCACTGACAAAATCCGGACTTCCACTCCCACTGGCAATATGACCAGCCCTGCCAAACATGAGGACCTTGTTATCTCAGCCCTTTAGTAGAGGAGGTGGGGAACTAGCTACTACCATACAGTGAGTCATGGGATAACATTTAGAGGAGCTGGTCACTTGACTAGTGAGAGTTGGGGAAAATATGTAGGGATGGGTGGTGACCCTTCCTAGGTGCTACATTAATGGCACCAAAAGAATGTCAGCATGAAGGATGCTGTAACTTGGGTCATGTTCTTAAGTTAGGGAGCAAAATCACTGCCTAACACAGCCTGCTGCTTTTTGAGGGCCTTGTTAATTGAAGTTAGAGGGTTGGTTTCCCTACCTCAGCATATTTGTTCAACAAGAAGGCAGATTCCCTGCCTTTACTGCTGAAATTAGGATGTTACTGCCCATAAGCTAGAGAACCAGGATTATTGAAGCTGACGGGTCAGATAATGTTCCTATAATCTTGGCAAAATGAAGGAAATTGTGACTTTGAGCCCTATTGCACTAGCATGTCATGTTTGACCCAAGCACTTGTTCTGGTTGTCATCCTTGTGATATAATATTATTTCTGATTAGGCACACTCTCCTGTTTTATAGCCATTAAGCTGTGTTCCAGAGGAATGCAGCCACCCTCCTCCCAACCTTGACTGGGTGCAGTGAGAATTGGGATGGGGCTGCATGTGTTGCTCCCCAATTCAATCTGTGTTCAGTGATATACCAGACTTCTTCTGAGAAGAAAGTAGGTACATATGCAGGAGAGCTAAAGGTCATTCCCACATTTCCTCACCCACTGGAGGGGTGAAAGGTCACCATTACAAATCACAATGAGCTAGTGACAATCTTGCTCGCTGACATAATTTTCATCTCTCTTTGCATGGACTGATTGGTTTAAACTAGCTTTTCTTATTCAAGACGCTTGCCGATGTCCTTCATTATTCCCTGTATACTTGTGTCCAGAACTATTTTGTCCCTATTCATGACTTTTCACTAATCTGTGGTGTCATGGCAGACCAAACCTGGTCTGTCCCTGAGTTCAGGGAAAAGATGGACTTTTACTGCATGTTGAAGTCTCATGTATGTTTACAGAGCTATTAAGCATTTTAGGAGGTATTTATTTAAGCAGATGGGAAATTCCTGTCTTGAAAAACATTCTCTCTGCTCCTTTGCATCCCTCCCTCCCAAGAAAACAATGGGATGGGCACGAAAAAGTGTAATTTCTATTCCTTATTTGAGAGTAAGGACATAGTGTCTCTGTGTATGCATCCCTTCAGTCACTATCCATATTAGGGGCTTCTCAACATCGCCCAAGAGTTCCACAGCAGTTCATGGAGTTGCATCTCAACCCCTTGTCCTGGAACTTGGTGCTCATGACTAAGAGAACTGCAGTAGTCACGATGGGATGTTGTCACTGTGTAAAATCACAGGTATTTTTCATTGGCAAATGTAGGAATGAAAGAATGTTATTCATACTGTGATTGACCATCCTCATATTGTACTTAATATCATAACACGTCGGAATGTGGTAATGATGCGAAGGAAAACGCTTATTACAGGTCTGTTTCTGGGCTGTGCACAACTAACTAGCTATGCATCACTGCCCCTTGGGTATGGCCTTGATCCACTCCCCTAGCTTTGCAGCCTCAGGTCACAAAGCAGAGTGCCAAAACAGAGGGGGCTCTCCTGTTCCTGTGGAGTACCAGTAAATAGCTGGCGTGCAATGTGTGGCTTTGAGACTTAGAAGGATTTCTGCTTTTTAGGTAACTAAAAGTGCCATTGTGTGCATATCTACCTGGACGCAAGCCCAACTGCATTCGTTCAGTGGGACTTTACTTGCCAATAGGTTGGTTAAAATTACAGCCTTAGTTCAGTTACCCAAGGAGATTCCAAAATCAAATTGTTGTTTTACCTATTTAACAGTTCTATGCTCGCTTAGAGGGATATCAGGCTTTATTAAACTCTGGAGATTTCCTGGTGGGTAAGCATACATTGAACTGGGCTGCAGATTTGGGTGTGTAAATCAATGGATCCATGTTGTATTATATAAATGATCCTACAGTATGACAGGGTGTTAGTAAAGTGAGAACGTATTAATTTAAATACCGGTGTTAAATATGAAAACATAAGGGTCAATCCCCTTTTCTGCCTTGAAGTCATAATTTGTTGGAGACACAAAAGTTTTCATTTATGAAATCTTAGTTTTCAAAATGTTAATTTTATTATTTCGAATTTAATGTTTTAAAGGTTCAGCTTTTAAATGTCCCCTTATTTTTAAAAGTTTTGCAGTAAGGAAGAATTACTTCCCTCTTCTGATCATCTTTTTTAAAATGGACATGTGTTTTGTTAAAGAATTAGGTACTGTATTTATAGTTGGTAAGTTGGCTCATTTAATGGTAGAGGTTAGTTCCAATGAGGCTGATAAGACAGCCTTCTTCACTGAAGACACAGTGGAGAAATGTGAATGGCTCAAAACAGCTTCAGAAAAATGTTTAGATCTTACATTTTTGAAGAGAGCACAAAATAAATGGCAAATTTTCTAATGAAATGAAGGAAGATGTGGTTGTTGCTGAGTTTAAGTTGCAAGTGCTTTGTGGTAGAATAGAGTGACCGAATGGGGTTTTCTGCTTGGAGATCTATAACAATCCAAGCAGTCTGTTAGTTTTGCAGGTTCACAGCCTTGTGAATGATCCAGTGCTAATAATTAGCACCCAGGGAGCGCTTTAAATTTCAAAGCACTTTATAAATACATTGAATGAAGCTTCCCAATGCTTGTGGGTCATGAGCATGTGGGTGGGGAAAGGGTAGGGGTGTGTGAACATGTATGTGTGTATGCATGCAGCTTATCTACTGTATTTCTGGATGGAGGTAGCACTATATCCAAAAATCTAGCCAGGCTATTTGAAGGCAGTTTCATACCTTATTAGATTTAGTTTAGGCTTGAACTGTCAAGCTATTAAGAATCCCGGGGAGTTGATGCAGCTTTGCTTGGAGATATATTAATTTGTTCTCTCAGTAGTGGTCAGATTGTGATTGATGAATTAAGCTATTGCACTAAAGTATCACGCCTGACCTGAGCAGCAGTTCAAAGTCATTTCATGGGGTTCCCTTCTTCCATGTCAGTGTCCAAGAAAAATCAAGACAACCGTAATTCTGTTTGCTCAGTTTACCTGTGTGTTGTGTAATAATAGGGCTGTTGCTCAGAAGGAAAATACACAAATTCTGAGGACTAACACTTTTGCACTGACTAAATTAAAATAGAAGTTGACTTGGAACATCTATTTGCTACACAACATTATAGTATCCTGCCTGTCCTATTTACCATCTCTTAGCCTTTATTCTTTCTATATATAAAAAAATATTTCAACATTTCTCCAATACACCTTGGATTCCTTCCTTTTTGTAAACACATATCCATTCCAGTTATAGGAAACAGCTCAAAAAGCACATGTTGCTGACACAGAAGTTCTTCCAGATGCATGGCTTCTAGTGCTATCAGTTCAATAGTACTGTGCAGCTATTCCATACTTCTTTTCTTTAAATAGATGGAAGTAGTAGTGCGAAAACTTACAATTTTACAGATTTTGTGTTACCTGGACCTCCTGTCAGATTGACCTGATCAGTCAGTTGCAGTGTAAAAGCCTCATCCAGAAGCATCCATCCACCCTGGACTCACTTTTCAGCTTCATGCCTAAACACCTTACTACCTCTTTCAGCCACGCCCCATCCTAGGCTTATCATGTTGATTCTCTTTGTACTCTGATGGGTTTGTTTTTGGTCTCTTCTGAGGTTTGAAAGCCACTGCCATCTGATTACTCTTTAAACTCACCCAAGATCACTGGGTACTGAATTTAAGATGGGATTGCACCATACTGCTAAAGGCTTGGAACAGAGTAAGCCAACTAATTCACACTCAGAGGCTGTGTTTTTAGAGCACTTTAAAATAAAAATGTGTCATCAAAAGCAGTTCCCATTTCTAATTCTGTCAGGGTAACCATCCTTCTTCAAACTTCTCTGTTCTCCTTATTCATCTTTTTATTCCCTTATTTCATTATCCTTATTCCAAAATGCTCTATTTCTTTGCTTCTGACCTTTTGTCCTAGTTATCACTGAGGGCATCTCATTGGTCAAAATATTTGCTTTCATGTACCCAGTCTTTACATTTCAAAGTGAAAGGTTTTCTCCAAGCGAATGTTGTTGCTGTGTGTTGTTTTAGCACTCAAATTATAGCATGTTGCAGTGGTAAAACATGGTCCCTCTGGCATAGTTATTTTGATTACCAGGTTCAGTTCAGTTGCAGAAGCCTCTCAGATATCTGTGGAGTAGTACTTGCAAGAAGCACACAATTCCCCTTTTGCCTTTTTGGAAATGTCTAGAGTGGTTGGAGGCATTTAGCTCTTCCTAGTCTACAGCTGCACTGCTAAAGCAATTGCTCTTGGACAGGATATGCATACAAGAAGACACACAATTCAAAAATAAGCAAGACAGGTCTACATCATAGTGCTTTACTAATACTCCCATTTCCATAAACCTTAACTGTTTTTCTTTTTTAAAAAAACTTGCTGTGTGCTTTCTCACATTTCAGAGCCAACCCTAAATCATTCATCCAGAGCAGTTCACATAAAATGGGTTGTGATGGACAGCAGTTTAGGATTTGCATATGAAAAATGCTTAAAGATACAATCCTGCATAATTCATCCTGTGAGGCTGCCTTATAGAGAACTTTGTTATAGTACCAGTCCATCCATCCCAAAATGGCCTGCCTTAGTGATGGCTCTTCAGTGCCTTAAGCAGAGTTTTTCTGCCCAATATCCTTTCTAATTGGAGATGCCAAGGACTGAACTTGCCTATAGATGAAGTGTCTATTCTACCACTGAATTCTGGCTCTTTATAAATCCTTTATTTGATATCTGTATACCCTTTGACTGAAACTATAAATATCTTAATTTTTTTCAATGGAAATTTAGGCTTTCTTGCCTTGTAGCTCTAAATAACCTAGTAAGCAGTATATTTGTTTATCAAAGACTTGATCTTGACTGCCGACATGATGGAAATCTGCAGCTACTTTTACAATCCGTTCAGTGGTGTGCCTTGTTTGTCATTGAAAGGAAAAGCATTTTATATTTTTGGTTACTTGTTCTCCTTGTTTCCTACACTAAATTAAAAATCTCTTTAGCATCAAATACTCTGTTTTGGGAAGAATTTCTGTGCTGTTTAAGGTCATTCTTTGACATTGTTTTCACTTGTCACCACTGAAAGTCTGAAGTGGCCCTACAATACATCCTCATAAGATATAGTAACATTTTAATATGGGCCAAAGACAGAGCAGTTACTTCCTATCATACTGAGGGTTTCAAAAATTTTCAGTCCCAAAATTGTTACCAAAATTTGAATAAGTTATGAGAGCAAGAAAAATTATATGGATAATTTGCGGGAAAACAGACTTTTGTACTCCACTCCCTTTTGACTCATTGATAAATAAGACAAGAAATATGTGTGTGTTCCAGCTACAAGTCGTCCTTTTACCCTCAGAAGGCAATGTCAATAGACTTAACTAGAAGTAAACTTAAGTGAGCACTGTGAGACCTAAAGTAAACCCAGCATAAGGTTGTTCTGTATGAGATCTAATATTTTAAAGGGGTAGCCATTTCATTCTGTTTTCAATTAAAATGAAAAAGTGAAGAGGAATGAAATAATAAAAACACTTTAGAGACTGATTTATTTTATCATGAAATTCTGTGGGTATCAGTCCACTTCTTTGGATGCACAGCTTGTTGCTTGTTCTCCTCTTATGTAGGTAGGTGTAAAATGCTATTGCTTTTAGTTCTAAATTGCTGAAATTCTCATTGCTCTTTTACATATCTGTGACTCTTATATCTTTCTTTGTCTCTCTGGTTCTGTTTCATAGTCTGTCCCTGACTCTGTTTTCCAGCTTTACTTACATGCATTATTTTCATTCTTTCTGCCATTGTTTTGGCTGATCATACAGGGAATAAAGTTCTCTTGATTTTGTTTTTACACTTAAACTTCCAAAGCTGAACTTTTACATGTCTTGATAATATCCCTTTGCCTCTCTTAGTCAGAGCATCCTATCAAACAAATCCTTATTTGACAACTCCTAAAACTGAGTACAGATTGAAGGTATAATTCCTTTGAAAAATACATCCATTCTATGCACTAGTTGTTTTTTAAAAGCATAACATGTGACATAGCTCTTTATGTACTAGCATGATGTTGTAAATGGATATATGTATATAATTTTGTTCATCCATTTCCATCTCATTCATAATCTCCTTGATTTCCCCCTTGCTGCATATGCACTTGAGTTATGCCTGTGATAGTTGCTATGTAAAGGTACTTTCTAGTTACCTGTCATACTCATGGCTTTAAACTTATCCCACATCACTGAAGTCAAGCAGAATTACCTTTACAGCATAGCAAGACTGAGACAAAATTGTGAGATATAAAAAAAAGTAACAAAAGAAAGAAGTTACCCAACTTGCCAATTGTGTGTGTAAGAGCTGTGAATAAACAAGTACTTCTGCAGTCTGGTGATATATTATTGGAAATGTATTATCAGTGTACTACAGTTAGATTTGTCTTATCAGTGTGTGATAAGGCTGGACATAATACTCATGTATTTGGTTATGCTATGCTTTTTCTCTAAAATCTATTGCTCATTTGGATGTATTTTCTCTCATTGTGTGATGAAAGAGTTAGAAGATTAATTTTCACTCGTTTGGGAACCTTTTCTTTCTCCTAAAAACATCTGTGACTTTCAACAAGATTTTCTCAATGCCTTGAAATTGTAAGCCTTCAGATACTCTCAACACATCCATGTTGCAAGTTGAAATAACTTCTTTCTTTTGTTGCTTTTTCATATATCACAATTTCTTAAGCTGATGCCCAACAAAATCCAATACTAAGATAATTAGGAGTGCACTACAAATATTTCTACTGTTCTGTGAAAAAAGGGCAATGGGATGATAATGGTAGGGATCTTTTCATGGGGAAAAATGTGCTCATTACTTGGTCTTGGGTCTGGCTCATTTCTTGGTGTATCCAGCTAAAGGATCTAAGGCCAGCGGTGCTGCAAAAGCCCTATACCAGAAACCCTTAAGGGTATTACTGCCTTTCAGAGTAAGCCAACAGTGGTCTGACTCCATATAAATTACTATCTATTTGTGGTATTTTTGTACCACTCATAGACAGGTTCTATGGGTGGTTTATTTGGGAATACTGCAAACCATGAAATATAAAAGCATTCAAAATAAAGAACAGATTAAAACTGTCTCATGATAAAAACATTTACACAGAGTTCAGTTGTGCCAAAGGCCTTAAAAAGCACTAAAATATGATCAGGAAAAAAGGTCACCTGATGCTGAAAAAAATGACAGTGTGAGGAAGTAAGCCTCTTTGAAAGAGGACATTCCACAATCATGGTGCTACCTCTGAAAAGGCCCTTCACTTAGTAGCAACCCATCTCATATATCAGGTACATCCACATAAGGGCCTTTGAAAATGCTCTTATAATTGGGGCGTACTCATGGGAGGGGACTATCTTTTTGATAACCTGGCTGTAAGTCATTTAGAATTTCAAATGTTGATATCAGCACTTTCAATTAGGGCTGGAAACAGAGCACCGCCTTCTACCATAGACCTTTGCCAGCTTGCAGGGCAGAGTGTCTCCCTTCCAAAAAGGGAGGAAAGTACATTAATTGTGTGTCTTCTGTGCTTTGGGCCATCGTGACTGCGAGGCACCCCAGGGATTCTGACAGTGTTCCAGGAGCAATAGATGGGTGTAGTAAGGTCTGCAAAAAAAGGCTGGGGACCACAATACTTCTTGTCTCCACCTACAATATCTTAACATATATTTCAGATTTGATGTATCTATTATTAGATGAAGATACCATGAATAAATTATAATTCAGCAGGTTGTGATCAGTCACTGGAGAAGCAGTGAACACGATACATCAGAAAAGAACTACAATGCACATTGACTACATACGGACTGTTCCTGAGATATTGCTGCATCACTTCGGTGTTTTATTTGGTTTTTCACTGTAACTCACTCTTCTGTTGTGCCTTTGTTTCTTTTGAGATGCAAATAAATAAAAGGACAAAGCGACCTAGGTCCTGCCCCAAGCAAGTGGAGGGATAATACTCCATCCATAAAGTTACATATCCTACTCCCACACATGCTTTTTTTTTTTTTTTACATTTTAGGTGGGACACAAGAGGCTATCCACTGACCCTCTGTGCCTTTTCCACTCCCACCCCTTCCCAAAAAATAACAAAAGGTTAAGCCCCAAGAGGGAGCCACTTCTGACATTTCTTCTTATGAATGGGGCAGGAATAAAGCAGATAGGCAAATGAATTGTTGATAAATGTGGTTTAAAGTGGGAAAGAAATGGGAGAGTACACACTGGCTGCATGTACCCTTCTATCCCTTTCTCTTTGGACTACATTGGCTGGATTGCTTTCCTGCTCTCTTCCAGTAAGCAAGAGCATGGCCATTTAAGGGAATTTGGGGGGTTTATATGTTTCACAAAGGGCTACAGAATACCACCTTGTTCTCCATCCAGGATAACATGCATGACTTCCACACAGCTATATAAAATCCATATTGAACAGATAAAGCAGATATTATTCAATGCAGATATTGTGGATTATCCACCTTGACATTCTCGGTTATATGTCTGTATGGAAGTGCCAATAGTCACACTTCACTTCTGCTTATGTCACTCAGAGGGTTCTGGCCAATATCACATGGTTTCATTCCTTTTATTTCCATGTATTGCTGCCTTCTCTTGTAATGTGCAGGAGAGGTAGCACTTGGAGTCAGTCTTTATCTTTGATGTTGTTGGCTTTGGCCAGTTATCTTCACCTCACTCAGGCTGTCTTAACAAGTGCCAATACTGATGCCTCATTCATTCAAGTAGGTATTTCCTAGCTTACCTATACCATACATAAACAAGTTATTCTGTGAGGTGAGATTCTAATCTAGGAAAGCTCTCTTGACTGGAGGCATGCATGGAATTGGCATGAAGAAATTATACTGGGTCTATTTGTTTTCATTTTTCATTGCAAATTATATCTAAATATGCTTCAGATCTGATCGTTGGGTACAACATTTTTTGAAAATGACAAAGTTGACTGTCCTATGAGGGTTCATGATAAAACAAGACTTCCATCTAAATTGTACTGCGGCACAATTGGAGTACTTTCCTTCCACAATCAGGTGTGTGTTTGGGGACACCTTAATGTTTTTTTTTTATTCCTAGTGCTTCATTTCTCTGTTAAACATCACCTAATCCTCTGTAGTCTAACTTTTTTTCCTTAGCATAACTTTCATGTCTGGGCAACAAAACCCAACAACAGACTAGACACTGGATTGAATAATTTTGAGAAAAATATGCTGCAAACAAAGGCATTGGGGCTTGTGTGCACCTGTTGTTCATCACAACTTCAGCAAGACCCAGATGTTCAAAATCCCGAGTTCATGCTACATGAGATGCTACTGAAGGGACCCATGCCAGTCCCAAGTGTCATGTTAGCATTCAGACTGTCTTACTGGTATTTAACTGCATGGTCTAACATGTGTTTACCCAGTTTGGATGTATTGTGTGTGTAGTGCTATTGCACAGGCGATAAAATTGACAGTGCACTATCACACATTGTCATTATTGGTGTTCATATCAGCATGTCACAGGTGCCTGCTGGCAGCTGCTACCTTGCAGACAAAGTTTCTTATCTCAAACTGTGACACGGTAAGCTGCACTTAATTCCCTCGCCCAAGTCGCTATAGTCCTAGAAAAGAGTTGTTTTAAAGCAAAAACCTCATACCTTCTTTCCCCTCTGTTCCGATTATTAACTTTATTGACTGATGCCCACTTATCACATATAGGTGGTCAAATGCTTTCCACCACCTCTGTCTTTCAAATATTGGGCATGATGGGAGGGATGCATCTTTTACGCTCCTCTGCATTAGCTTGAACTTACATTGGTACACCTATAATGTTTACTGCCTGCCTAGCCTCTGGATTTGTATGCAGGTGCTCACTTGTTGTGCAGATGGAAGACACTTAATATGGAATCAGTGTTATGAAGCACTCTATTTATGGAAACTTGGGCTCTTGCCTGTATGAGGGGCATTACCAATTATTTTATTGTTATTCTGTAACAAAACTCTGTTATTCTGTATTTGTGTACAGAAAATCACTTTACTTCCTTCAGCAACAGTTACAACTCTTCTGTGTAGGAATGTTCCACTGCTTTTATCTCTCCTTATTTTTTAAAATCTCTTCTGCTGGGGTACGTTGGAGTCAGGCGTTTACCAGTAGACTCCTGCTTCTTGATGGTTTCATTAAGAGTCTTCTTCCCTTTGCAGGAGAAAAGTATCCACCCTATGCCTCTGATCCTTCAGTCCTCTGATTCCCAATCATGGATTCCACAAAAGCCTTTTCACACAACTATTGGAAAGGCAAGTCCATGTGCTGTTGCCACTTGCGACACCATTCATTCCCCCTTTTCCAGGAATGCTATGTGTTGGATCCCTGCTCTGATTCACCCCAGCATGAAGGCTCTAGGGAACTCTGAGCACTCTACATGTGCCATTCTTATGTGACTTTTTTTACCTATGTATGAAAGATATGAACTAATATTGCTGTAAAGAAAGATACAAATTATTATAACATATTATATAAATATATATGTATATAACCGTTCTGTATATTGTATACCTCAGTGCATGAGATGATTGTTGATGTGTGAATGAAAGATGCAGTGTGGTCCAATCCCTCTTAATAACTATAAAGCTGAAGAATGAATAGACCTACATGCAACATCTGTAGTTACCATATTCCAGGGAGAATGTGCATGACTACCTATGATGCACCAATAATTCATTCAAACTATCATGTCCAGCTCCAATGGAAGTTAATCGGCACCACTGAGAAAGACAAAACTGAACAACCAAGCTGCATTTTAATTTGAAAACTATTCAGTCACTACTATACAAACGTGCCTGGTCTGGTTCTGCCCTACACATGCTCCCAGTTTTGTAGGAATGCTGCCTCTGTAAACCTTTAGAACAGAGATGCAAAATGTGGCCCTCCATAATTGAGTCATAGATAAGAGCTGAAAACCTTGTGATAGGTTTGCATTAGGGCCACCATACATCGGAAAGCTTGAGCACACACAACAATAAAGTAATATAAGCTCTAAACATGACTTCATGGCATGCCCTATGGACAATAAATTATCATATTTTCTGGTGATGTGGGGTTAACTAACTATGATAAAGAGATGGCGCATTGATGATGAAGCAATTTTATTTTTATTGCTTCATAGAGTAATACTAAGACGCTGGAAGATGGATAATTATCCTTTGACAGAGGATTGCAAACATGGCAAGCTATGAGACATACTGTAAAAAGTGAATTTCGTGCATTCGAGGGCAGCTGAATACTACTATTTTGTGTCAGGAGCGACTTGAGAAACCACGTTTCTGCAGGGACATTGCTCATGGCACACATGGATGTTTTACCGTCCTGTAGGAAGCTTCTCTCATGTCCCCGCATGGGAAGCTGGAGCTGACAGACAGGAGCTCATCCCACTCCCCGGATTCGAACTGCTGACCTTTTGATCAGCAGTCCTGCCAGCACAAGGGTTTAACCCATTGAACCACCAGGGGCTCCTCTGGCAGCTGAATTAGATGAATTAACTCTGTGATTCTGTGATGCTGGGACACTTATCATAATGGAAAACAGCACATGTGAGTGCCTTACTTTGTGGAAATAAGTAAGTTAAAAGTGAAAGGGAGTTCAGCAGTCTAGTATTACTTAACAGTGAGGGGTCACATAGTGGGAAAGTAAAAAGAGGCTTGCTAGAAAGACAAATATGCTATCACAGATATCTTTGAAATCAGTTCAGAGAACAAGGGTAATACCTCAACAGGCATTAGATCTCCAGAAAGAATCTCCAGTCAATCATTTTATTGATGAATAATTATGAACATAACTTGGGAAGAGAAAACTATGACTGCGGATTTACATAGATTTACCTATAAGTTCCATTGAACTTGGTGGAGCTTATATCCAAGAGCACATCATATATTGACTGACACAGTAAATGATAACTGGAAAGAGATATAAGGATGTTCAAGACAAATAAATGAATACTAATTTACAAACCTTTAAGAAGTACACGAAGCAGAATAAGGCTCTCCTGCAAGATTGTCTGCAGAAGGAGTGACTCAGTGCACCCCTTAGGAGTGTTAACCAGTATCATAATTCAAATAATAACACTGAACATAACCTGTACAATTTATGACAGACCTTCAGGCCTAAGGCTATTTGGTATGTGTTTAAAAGTAGCTCACACAACACATCATAAAGCACATTTAAAAACAAAGATAATGAATCATATATCCGCATCAAAGAAATGTTGCAGGTTCCACTACGCCAGTGGTTCTCAGCCTGTGGGTCCCCAGGTGTTTTGGCCTACAGCTCCCAGAAATCCCAGCCAGTTTACTAGCTGTTGGGATTTCTGGGAGTTAAAAGGCCAAAACATCTGGGGACCCACAGGTTGAGACCCACTGCACTAAGCAAAAACACTGCAGTAAATGGGAAAGCAGTTTTCAACATTAAAAAAATGAAAGTTACACCAAAAAGCAATTTGCTGAGAAGAGTGAATGCACAGAACAATAAATAAACTTAGATTCCTTTGGCAAGTCATCCCAGCAAGAGAAGATTAACATGAGTTAATACATTCTTAGATTATGCTAATTTGACAAGTTGTCATTCTAGCTTTACATATTTAAAAATGCACTTCACATCATTTTCTGATTATTATAATTTCCTGTTTGCAAAAGAAAAATGAAGGCTGGATGCTGTGAGAGTGGATTCTAGCTACCACAGTGTCTTATAAGTCACCCCAAGTCCCTTTTGGGAGATGTTGGCGGGATATAAATAAAGAAGATGATGATTGTTATTATTATTATTATTATTAACCTCAGTGAAGCAGGATTTGAAACTCTGCTCTTGGGGCCCTTCCACACAGCCCAAGGCAGAAAATCCCACAATATCTGCTTTGAACTGGGTTAACTCAGTCCACACTCAGATAAAGTGGGATTTTCTGCTTTGCTATTCTGGGATATAGGGTTGTGTGGAAAGGTCCTCGGATGCAAATAAGAGAGGCTGACTCTTGCATTTTACTAAATATCTGGACATTAAAAGAAAACTTAAAATATGTCTATTGTTACTGAACAAAAGCTGTTTGCCAGGGCTGCTAGATCTCTCAGGCTACTTCCACACAGCTGAATAAAATCCAACATTTTCTGCTTTGAACTGGAATATATGGCAGCATGGACACAGATAACCCAGTTCAAACCAAATATTGTGGGATTTCCTGCCTTGATTTTCTGGGATATAGGGCTGTGTGGAAGGGCCCTCAGGCTGCAGTTTCACCTAGTTCTGGGATAAGAGTGCCAGGGCTCCCTTGGTGTCTTTTGTCTTAAGTGCTTTCATAGAGCATGGCTTCTGATCAGAATACACACAGAGAAACCCCTGCCTGTCCTCCCCCTTCCCACATTTGTGGGGCTCCTGATTCATATCTATAGCTTTGTTTGACTGAAGTACATTTGTGAGGCTTACTGTGATACAAACACATGTTCAACCCTCTGCAGTGATGTCAGAAGCTGGAGGCAGACATCATCTCCACACAAATATCAATAAGAAAAGTGACTATGGAGATCTTCTGATAAACTAGGGGTATGCTCCTCTGCACATCTACGGAAAAGGAAGTCCCTGGAAGTCAGTGGGTGTAGCAATGGAGAGTCATATTTCCTAGAGAGGAAGGATGAGAAACCTTTGGCCCTCCAGGTATTTTGATCCCAAACCATGATGAGTGGTCATCTAGGAGTTTAACTCCAAATTTTTGGTGGGTCCCCATTCTGGTAAAACATGACAAACATTGAAGGAGAAAGATGGACCTAAACTGACATTCTGTTGGCAGCTAATGCTGGTAAAATAACACTGGCATAAGCAAAAGCCTCAGGTGGAGTAGCTATGATGGCATTGAAGAAATAAGCCACAGCTTCTGCCTTCCCATTCTTATGAAGCCATAGGTGAAAAAAATACAACCACTAGCATAACGCACCTACAGAATTTCAACTACTTTCTACATATGACAAAAGTACGATGGTATATAAATAATGACAACAAAAATGACAAAAATGTTTCCCTGTAGTGTACATTTTTAATTAGAAATTCCTTAAGGAACATCAGGTTGTGTTCTGTTTACCTCTCCTTTTATACACAAAATTATAGTCTGCTCAAGCGGGCTGTATGCAATAAAAGTTCTTGTTGTGATTAAATTTGCTCTTTAATATCCCAGGCTGTATCTGGATATTCCTTGCACAAATACATATGTATTTATCATAATACAATATTACCTCCAGTAAGGCAAATGGCATACTGGGTATGTTCTTGGTAGTAGATGCATCCATGAGTAGGATTACTTTTCTGCTAAGTATATCTCTGCAGTTTACTACCTGGAAAAAATCAATTTAAGGAAACCACCGTCTTTATGAAAAACATTGCCAGAAAGTTAACCATCTCAATCAGCTGAGATTCCTGTAATGTCACAGGGATGTGTCATGTGTTGAAAGGGCAGAACACATACTTAACACATAAAGAGAACTCTCAATGGAAAGAACTAAGAATTATGCTGTTGTACCTGCTGACCTCATCAGACCTTCCAGATTGGGAGATGCAAAGGAAGAATTGCTGTAAAACATAAAAAAGAATGTATGTATGCAAACACATTTTCTTGCATTATATAATCCTATGACCTTGAAAATCATTTTATTCTAAACTATCCAAACATCAGTCAACAATTTTACATTTCCCCCAGGAAAAACAAAGGTTTAAATTTACATTTCCAAATACTTTCCTCTGATTTTCAACTACTCTTTGAATAGTTTTCAAAGATGGAGTGTGCCAACTCAAAATGCATTTTAGCATCTTAACTGCTGATGTGCTTATGACTTCATTGACACAGCCCAGAGAGCCAACCACTAATTATAAACAGGCATATGAGGCTAGCAAAACCATACCAATGAAAGGCTTCTGTCAACCCCACCTGAGGTTATCAATGCTTAAAATGGAATCTAACTTGGACTGTGAATGTGCCTGGTGTAGATTTAATATTTAATAGCAATTCCTATAATATTGCTCAGAGGTATATAAAAAGTACATATGTCCTGATGCAAAGCATGGAAACTACTTTTCAAAAAAGGAGATTCAGACTGAACTTGAAGAACTTCCTGAAGGTAAGAGTTGTTCAACATTCAACATGTGGTGGACTCTTTCATTACAAGTTTTTAAACTGAGGTTAAATGGCCATTTCTTAGATGTATGCTTTAACAATAGGTTCCTGCATTGGCAGAGGGCCAGACTAGTTATTGAGTTTCTTCCAGCTCAATCTGAAAAAACTTTGAGTCAGCGGCTCTTCCTCCTTCCGGGATCCCCTCATTTTTGAGTCCCTGCTCCCCATCCCACTCCCCATTCCATCCCATCCCATCCCACTCCCCCACTCTCCTCGGGAGGAAGAGTAAAAGGGGGAAAGGTCGGAGAGAGCGAAGGACGTACGGAGTTAACAAGAGAATTAACAGGGGAAAATAGAAAAGAAACCAGCCGGCGTAACAGCTAAGACTACTTGAGC